TTATACACAGGGCATAACAAAATCTCTTGACCTTATTGCATGAGTAAAGCCGAGAATCTGAAACAGTTATTTATATTTTTTGTCTGGAATACTTACATTTTCGTTAAGTACCATTCCATTAATAAGAACACTATGACTATGCCGGCTGATTTGTACAATATCGTCGTATTTCCGGTCCGCGGGGCACTCGAACAACTTTGTCGTATTTTTGTGTTTTTGCCTAGCGCATAGCAGCGCGAAAGTACGACAAAGTGGTCACACCAATACTGATTAGTTCCAGGAAACGGGTTGGTTCATTTATGACATGTTTGCAAGTACAACTTCTATCGTTCAAAGTTAGTAAATTACACACATCCATGGACATAAAGTAATCATAAATGCGTAAAATAAAACGAGCATATTTTACTTGGGGATATACTTAGTATCAAAGCCTGTTATTGGGTGTAATTTTAACCAATCGTTAGCATTGGTTTATCGATATATTCACTGCCTGTAGTCAACGGGTAGTCTACAGTTTTAACCAATCGCGCAAGTCTTTGGCAACATGTATAAAGAGGCAGTTAATATGTTAGTTATTATCTTTAAATATAGATAAATATATCATACGAACGATGGTCAAACAATGAATACAACTATAGATACCGAAAATTTAAGTGAAGATAGTTCGATAATAGATGATAGTGTCGTGAAAATACTGACTTGGATTGTGTCAGGATTAGCCGCAACAATTGCATGTTCTGATATAGGTGTTTTACACATATTAAAACGTTGCAAAAAGATACCAAAGCAATGTTTGAAGTTATATTTTAGTTACATTCTCGGTGATTTGATCGGAGCAGTACAATTTGTTACTATGACTGTGATAATAACTGGTTTCACAGTGGAGACGGATCTAGCCTATTGTATACGCATTGTTTCCTTTGCAGTTTTGCATAACATCTCATCCGCGTCAATAACCGTGATAGTTTTAGAAAGAGTTGTCAGTTTAAAAGCACATCTAAAATATCAAGAGATATTGAGACAGCTGAACATTACTGTTTTTATTGTATTTGTGTGGGTATTTCATGCCCTAGTAGGACTCACTTTGACTCTGATAAGATTTTACAAACTTTGTAGATTTAAATTGTCAAACTGCGACCTGCATGACGTGATTAAAACGACAAAATATGCATGTGGATTGATTATGATCATATATGACGTCATTTTGATATTTGCTAATATCAGTATCATACGGGTAGCGAGACGCCAAGCAGTGGAAATAGATGCGCTTACACCAAGCGCTTATATATCCAGATCAATCGAGAGTGTAAGCAGACGACAGGTTGCTGCCTTGAAGATAATTATTAATCTTGTAGCTTCAAACATACTTCTAAAGGCACCAGTTATTGTAGTCACGATAGTCAGCACAATTGACCCAGCTTTACGTGACACGCCCGTCATGAGGTCATTCCGTTCCCTTAGCTACTTGTGTATTCAAGCGAATTCATTCATCAACTTGTTTCTATACATTTGGAAAATGAAAGAATGCAGAATGAATTTCCTGTCATTGGTATCAAAATTCTCCAGTAAATACGAAAAGAAAGCCCAAAAGCTACGTTATGAAATTTTTGACATTCCAGTCTCGGAAAACCGTTCAAATAACAATTAGAACAGTGGCGTTAACCAACATTGACATTGGGTCGAGTATCTTAAATATACGAGCCGCGTCATGACAAAACCAACATAGTGCGTTTGCGACCAGCATGGATCCAGACCAGCCTGCGCATCCGCGCAGTCTGATCAGGATCCATGCTGTTCGCTATCAGTTTCACTACTTGTTATAGGGTTTGTAAGCGAACAGCATGGATCCTGATCAGACTGTGCGGATGCGCAGGCTGGTCTGGATCATGGATCAGTGCTATGGAGGTGTTAACGGCATTTCATTGAATAGCGTTTGTTGTTTTTGCTGTGCTACCTCATCAACCATCACCTGATTTGTCAATTTATTATTATTTTAAAGAATACTGCATAGCTGTTTATGAAATGTTGATTTTTGCCAGTTTTCTGAGATTAATAGACTCCTTCCCCTTTAAACCCCTTACATTGACTAAAATTCTGCTTAGGCAGGTGCTAGGGGCATAAACAGCTTGTCTTAACTACTGCCGTCGATAAATAAGCTTAATCAAACTGAGTCTTGAACATTTTCATCAAATCAAGAACCAAGAAATAATAAATCAAAGCACAGAAGGCGCTGAATTTGTTTTGGTCTGAGACTGTCAGAAAGGTGAAGGTTGTAGGATTATAAACCAATTTGTTTGTATAGTGTCACCAATGCTGTTTCCAGTGTTATAACTATAGTAAATTGACTAATTGCAACACTGATATTCAATTCAATGTTTATTTGGCTTAAACAATTAAAAAAAAACCATGAGTTGTCTGAACTGGAATTTGAACTCCAGACCTCTCGCTTCCAAAGCGAGCGAGTAAACCCCTCGATCACGGGGAGTTATAAGATAACAGCCTGAAGAATACTTTATTATTCTAAATTAGAGTTTGTAACACTTATTAATTTCGATATACACGTATTTTGTTCATGGTAAACCTGTTGTTTAACACTGAAGTAAATAAACATGCCATGATGGAGCTGAATGTAAGCATGTATATCTATAAGAATAATACAATATTGAACTATTTTTTCGTTACGAAAATTAACGCGCCTGTCATTTAGCAATCTTTACGCAGTGATCTCCCCTTTATTTTTCGGCGTTAATGTACTCGTACATATGAAGGGAAGTAACCGCTTCGAGGAGTTTGGACTAAATAAGAATATCAGGGTCAGAAATTTCGCTACCATTATTTGTTTGGTCTGACTACCCAAACAAATAAAAATTGTTTCATATGTCTTCGATTGAAGTTGTTAATCTTTAAATACATGTACACTTATTATAGGAAAACTCCGAGATGTTTTTTCCGGGTTGGCAATCCTTAGGTTTCAAGACTATAGAGTTTAAGCCTCATCTACTCTTCTGTTGTGACCTAACATCACCCGTGTCAGCAGCATACGCAATAATAAATAGTTCTAAATAGTCCCTACTTTTACAGAATTACTGTACGACTGTACATTTACAGTGCGTCTGTGAGAGGCCACACGATATCGACGCCAAATTAATATTTAATAGACTGACCAAGTGCTGCGTTGTTAAAGTATTTAATAGACAAATTATTCGACTATTTTCTTTATCTTTTACGTCTTTTCACGAGATAAAAATAAAAGTCCAACCCCTTGACAGAAGTGTTTGCCAGCCTTGTAATTTAGGCAGTTAGTGTATGGGTTTTTGTATTAAAAACAAAGTTCAAAAGTTCAAGGTCAAAGTCATATTTGAATTATTCATCATGTTGATTTTGACATTGGGGTCTTTAATTTTGTTCAAGTATGAACTTTATCTGTAAATAGAAAAAAAAATAATATCACAGAAAGTTTGAGCAAAATTCAATCATTCAACCTTGATGATTAAGGCCATTTTAAGGTCATATTTAAACAATTTGACATAACGGTTTTGACATAAGTGTTGTTTTGTCCAAACATAAGTAAAGTTCGTAAATAATAAAGAAAATTATCATAAGTTAGGCATATTTCAATAATTTGACCTTGACTGTCAAGGTCACTTTAATGTCAAAGCCATATCAAATGTTTTTAACATGTTTGTTGTGTCATAATTGTCGTTTTACCCAAACTTATCATATCTGTAATTTATTAAATAACAAAGTTATGGCCAATTTTAGCAACTTGCATTTACTTGACATTTACGGTCAATGTCATTTAAAGGTCAAAGTAATATTTTAATAATTTATTATGTTGGTTTCGCTACAAGTGTTGTTTGTCATAGTATGAATCAAATCCATCAACAAATATAAAAATTATAACAATTTTAGCAAAATTGGTGATTTGACCTTAATGGTCAATGTCATTTAAAGGTCATATCAGTTTTTTCCCATTTTGCTGGTTAAGTAACATGTGTTATTTTGTCCAAGTCTGAATGATATCCTTAGATGAATAACAGAGTTTCAATCATTCTAGCAAATTCAAAATTCTTCTTTGAACGTCATGATCAAATAAATGTCAATGTCAAGTTTCATCAAACCATTAGAAGGTCATGTTCCTATGGTTATTGTGTCCATCTAAGAAGACTACCCATTTCTTCATTGCAAAGTTATATTATAGCCACTAATAGCAAGAAAGTGAAAAATATAGTAATATGACATTCAACGCCAGGACCATTGCAAATTCAAGGTCAAGTTAAAAGGATTTTCCGGAAAGGTTGTTGTGATCAAGTATGAAGACAATCCATTCATAAATAACAAAGTTATAACCAGTTATAGCAAAAATCCAGCAAAATTCAATAATTTTACCTTAAACAAATTAAGCTATAGGTCAAGGTCAAGATCAGTTTGATTTTCTTGCAGGCCTTGTTTTAAATGTTGTTGGTCAAAGTATGAAGGCAATCCATTCATAAATAACAAAGTTATAGCTATTTAAAGCAAAAATCAGACACAATTTTGAAAAATGACCTTGAATGACAAGGTCTTTAATGAATGAAGGTCAAGTTCAGTAGGTTGTTGTCTCGAAGTATAAAGGAAATACATTGAAATAATAAAAAAAATAAGAAAAATTATCTTATTCTTTTACTTTTTTTTGTTTTACACTTATATACTTTAAGCAATATTAATGGATGTCAAAATATTAATGGATAAACTGCATGTTTAACTGATTAACAAAAAAATGTTACTCTCCCTTTGCAGCGTATTGAATAATCCGTTACTGGAAGTGAAACATTCAACCGATGCACAGGAGAGTAAAAATTGGTACAAAATAAAGTACCCATTACATTAAAATATTGCCTTTAAATTTCTTGCTATTATTTACGCTGAGAGATAACTATCTTATTTGATATAACCTGATCTGGCTAATAAGGAAGGAAAATTCGTTTATATTAATATCAACACGGATATACAGCTAACGTTATTGTCAAATGATAAGTTATCTATTCCGGTTAGTACAAACCACATTAAGTTGATTTTATTCATTCAATCAGTCAGTTTCATCAAACAGAGACTTCTAGAATCGTAGCGGCAGGAATGGATAATTCTCACTCCATTTAAAATGTTACAGGAGTTTTTTATCGATAATATTAAAATGAAAGTTATCTAGTTTCGCATGAAAGGATAAAACTGTGGAGTATATATTAGAACATTACTAAATCACAGTATTTGTTTCCCTTTTTTGCTAACAAACCGGGATTCAGAATGTTTATATGAAATTACGTGTAATGATTTAAATATGTAAAGGTTATTCAATTGTATCAAACAAGGAAATAGATTTAGATATTATGAAAGCAAAGACGATGCAGCGGAAAATAAATTAGTGGAAGAAGAACTTTAAAGTATGGCAACAATAGATTGTAAAGTAGTGCTTCTTGGAAGTGCAAGTGTAGGAAAAACTTGTTTATTAGATAGATATCTCCACGGGCAGTTTAGTATGAATACAAATGCGGTTAGTGAAATATTTTCTATATTCTTTACATATCCTTCAGTCCTTTATTGTTCACATGTCATATAGTCCTTTTATGTTCCATTATCATTTAGTCCTTCATTATTCACATATTTTAGTCCTTCATCGTTCATATACTTTTTAGTCCTTCATTGTTCAAATATCCTAACTCCTTTATTGTTTACATATCCTTAAGTACTTAATTTTTCACATTATACACATATCATTTAGTCCTTCATTCTTCGCATATAATTAAGTCCTTCATCGTTCATATATCTTTTAGTCCTTCATTGTTCATATATCCTAACTCCTTTATTGTTTACATATCCTTAAGTACTTAATTTTTCACATTATACACATATCATTTAGTCCTTCATTCTTCACATATAATTTAGTCCTTCATAGTTCGTATACCCTTTAGTGGAGATCACATATTCCGTATTATCACCATAGTAAATTACTAAGGCTATTAAGTTATTCTCTTTTGATTTTTCTTAATTTCTTAATGGTTATGGATGTTTCAATAATTAGAATAAATTTCTTTGATTACAGACAATTGCAGGATCGTTTGCATCTAAGAAGGAAGTTTTGCAGAACGTTTCAGTCATTTTAGGTTGCTGGGTTTGTATGATTTTATATTATAAACGATCGTTTTACATTTTACTAGTATTCTTCTATGTGTACATTTAATTACATGTACAACATATGTATGTCACAGTTCAGTAACATTCAAGTGGTTGTTTAGCTACTCTGCACTTAAAGTCTGGTTTAAGTGTTCTTTTCCTATGTGTCATCAATATTGTTACAAATCCATTCTCGTAATTATTATTGAAAGAATGATGCGTTGTTTAAATTTTAATAAACTTTGAAATCGCCAGAACATTGATTAATATATTATACTAAAGAATAAATACACAAATGAATGATGCGCTTGTTTCAATCCTAAATAGAATCGTGGAAGGAAAACCATTCCATATGAGCTTTCGAGGTTAACGTAGTGTCGGTACTTCTTATAAGCCCCCCCCCCCCCCCCCCCACAACCGGATGCCTTTTACTTTTTAGTATACAAGACAGACTCAGTCTATGAAATCAAAGTACAGAAGTACAGATGGGCTCGCTATATTACCTTTTTTCACTTACCCAAAAAGTGATGATATTTTCCGTATTTTCACTCTTGTCTTATCGAACTACTTTCTTCTAATTTTCATCCAATACACAAAATTTAAGTGAAAGTCTTTCAAATTGTAATGTCTAAATAGAGAAAAATGTATATTATAAACAGAAAATTCAAGATTTTTCTAAAATTACATGATTAATTTTCATCTTATGCTACCACCACTCATGAAATATTTATTTTCATACCTCTCGATGAAAATAAATCCCGTATTTATAGGAAAAAAACTTGAATATCCTCTATTTATTGTTTTCTCTAGGATACAGCTGGTAGTGAACGCTATGCGTCAATATCCCGGATGTACTATCGAAATGCACGTGCAGCTATCGTCTGCTTTGATTTGACAGATAGGTCAACATATGAAACTGCCAGATTTTGGGTGTCAGAAGTTCTTCAAGAAGAAAAGGTTAGGCTCTAAATCCATTATTTTAAAACATTTTAACACATAGTAAAGACATACAGTAATGTTCCTTTAACCATAATATATTCATAAGTTAGTTTAAGAATACTCAGTCTGAAAATAAGTACAGAAGCTTCCCTATTTTCGTAACATAAAATACTATTTCACATTGCCCTCACATATCAAATTGTAATGTCATAAATGTCGAAATCGGTTTTTTCCCAGAAGTGACAACGCTGTATGAATTGTGTATAAGTTTATAAAAAGTATGAAAAAGATACTCTACTATGTAAGTCAATACATAAATTTTAGACATTATCATTTAACACATTTAACTGCTTTCTATATTTTTATTAGACTTATACAAAACATTGTATGTTTGCAGGACTGTAAAGTATATTTCTGTGGAACAAAATATGATTTGGTTGAAGATAAACCAGAACTGCGACAAATCGAAAAGAAAAAAGCACAGGAACTTGCTCATGGTAGTACAAAAAGAATATTTAGATTTTCCTGTATTCAGTCTTGAAACACTTGTTTACTTACAATATAATACATAAATACAAATTTTGTAAACCAGGGGATAGGGGTGAATGGGGCAACATAAATAAAATTGCTCTACAGAAAAAGCATCTCAAAAAAAGCTATTTATTAAAAAAAAACCTGAACCAATACCTTGATAAACCCTATTCTAAAAAAACAACAACAAAAACTATTCATTAAGGAAAAAATGGGCAAAATTATTTATATGACTTGAGTCAATACTTTGAAAACCTGTGTACAAATTATCAAAAATTTATTCATGAAAAATAGTGAACTATGGCATGTTTTCAAAATCTCAAGAATCTATCATAAAAATAACTTGAGCCAATTTATTGATGGTCCTTTTACGAATTCTCAAAATCTTAACACACGTTTCCTAAATCTCAAGAAGTAAAATGTTGTACAATTATAGAAAATATCAACTAGTAGAACATTATTATTAACGTTTATAGAACACTTTTTCAGATTTACAGACAGACTACTTTGAGACTTCAAGTAAAACCGGGGAAAATATAGGTAATATCTCATTTTCTTAAATCTGTTTACTTTTTGTACAATGCATGACTTAATCTGCTATATGTCTGTAATGGATTTTCTCGGCTTTGATTTTGGAACAGTCCATTCAAAGTTTAAGGGTTTTTAATATCAGAATATATTAAATGAGCTACAATTAATTATAAACAGCGTAAGATGGATGTACGGTCTGGCCTGGCTCTATACTGGCGACAAAAAACTAATCACTTCCGGTTTCGGTAGACTAAGGTCAACAAAATTCAGAACATTTTAGTGAAAGTAGGTTGTGGCTATATAACGCAGCATGCTTCCAGATTCATGCTAATTTTCATAAAAATTTAAAAAACGTATTTATGATAAGATATTGTGAAGTGAATAAAGAAAACAATTTACATATTGCAATTCGAAGTAAATTACCAAAACGAGGTCAATATAAACAATAATAGCCCTTACTGGTTTAGTAATGCAGTAAAAATATAGTGATTTATACTGCAAAATCAATATTTTCACTTTTCCCAAGTTTAATTTTTCTGAAATATTTTGGCTCATCTGGAGGCATGCAGCTTTAAACAGCAAATTCAAGATTGTTTTCATTTGTTTGTTTTCTTTTTAATTGAATGGACTTCTTTAAAAAGGACGATAAAAACTGACTTGTCGAAATACCATGCATGGTAAAAATATATTCTTATAACTTAGTGCGTCATTACAAAACACAAAACGTAGTTATTTAGAACTCTATTGTAATATCAATTTAACATTTCCAAGTTGTGGAAACATTTACCTATTCGACCATTAATTCACATATGATTTACCATTGCTTCGTTAGAGTATAGTAATTGACGAACTGTATTTGCTGTTTTAGAACTATAGTATGAAATCTATGTTTTCCCGCTTCAGATCAGCTTTTTAAAAAGATCGCAAAAGATTATTCTATTTGGGAGGATAACGAAGCGTGCAATAAACTACGTAAGCTATTTTTCTATTAAAGTATTTATTTTCTTCAGTTTTATATTTTAGTTGAGGGAGGTTTGTGTAAAAAATATATTTCGTTTGTTTGTCCTTTTTTCATTTTCAGGTAACTGTAAGGTGTTGAATTTATAATGAATTTATAATTGACAATGTTTCAAAAGTCATTTAAAACTTTACATTTTTGACACTTCTGCAAAAATAACAAACAGTGACCATCTTGTTTGAAAAATATTGACGATTCAAGTTTAAACTTTTTATAACATCTATATAGAAGAACAACAACTATGTGTTCAACAGTTAAAGATGAGTTTCACTTATTTCAACGACAGATTTACAAGTATATATAAATCTGTACTAATAATTACCTAGATAACGTTCTGAACATTTGTGCAAAAATAAGGGAGGTTAATCAAAAATAATAAAAAGAAATGAAAAAAATGGCCTCCATTAGGAAACTATACGGATTGGAGGTTCTGCATTAGCCATCTAATATCTTACAGTATCTTTGTTGATATTTTCCAGTCGTAAACGATTCCATCAGACTTCATCATTCAAGTTGGAAGAAGGATCCGCGCGTGCGCAGAGAAGGGGAATCAAGTTGTTGTCTATGGTGATGATAATACGAATGTAATGTGCTGTAGACAGTGTGGTCTGCCTGGATTCCAAAACTTCTATTTTATTTCTTATATTCTAACAATTTAAATTGCTCTGTCGCCTTTATAAATTGTTGATTTATCATTAGTCGTGATTTAGATTAAACTGTTTTTGTTATACATGTAATTGTTACTGCTAGCTTATGTTAGGTATAATAAAATGGATATAAGATCATTCTGGGGATGGTAGTGCATTAAATTAACCCGAGGGATAAGCACACGCTGCTACAAGTAGTTATGTGGGGTGTCGTTCTCGATCTCACCAGCCTCGCGAGGGTCACAATTTTATTTAGAAGTTACTATGTCCCTTTGTTTTATTTAATAAATTTTGGAGTGGTCAAAGAATGTTCATTATTTACAGGGTGATCTTTGTTTGAATGCTGTCTTTAACAAAGGTTTGACTGTTCTGCTTTTAGGTTTGATACATATTTTTCATGGTAAAAGATAATTGGCATGACTTAAGTACGGAAACAAGTGTTATATCTCAATCACTGTGAGAATTGTCAAGGTGTGTTGTTTTTGTAGCAGAAGTTCTTTAACTTGAGGCTGTTCGAGACCTTCAATGAGAGAAGTGTTGAGTTCCTTAAAGAATAGAAAATAGAATCACCAGTTTTATTTGATACAAGAAAATCAAGCACAGCATGAGTCATATTTGAAAAATTACCAACATTATTAAATTAAAGTCGAAAAAGTACGTAGTCCCTACACAACTAGCCTGTTCATGGACGGTACAGTGCAAGCTCCCGTCCACGCACAACGCCCCCACACAAGCACCGACTTATGCAGTATTCAACATGGTGAAGTTTTGAATCAAGAGATAGATGTGTAAATACGGCGCTGATCATGGAAGTTTCAATGTGACACGCATGTGTCATTTAATTAAGAGTGGCGTATGTTGTCCAAACGTGTTGGAAATTGGCGAAGCTAAATAAAATGGAACTTTCAAAGGAAATCTGAGACCATGAAGCCTTTATATTATAGAAAATTATCAAAAGTCTAATTGAAAATAGCAAGCAACATTTAGTTTATTGACATCAAAAGGTGGATAACATGTAGAAATCCAAAACTTCTGCTAGCAATAGCACAGTTCAGCATCTGGATCCGAAAAACCGAAAGTATACCTGTTGCATCGGCATTAATAGATGTGGAAATGTAAAAAAAAATGTCTATTCTATTCTATTCTATTCAAATAAAAAAATATTTTAAAATGTAAGATATTGGTGAGAAACACGTATAAAAATGGATAAGTACTGGAAATCATGGTTGTAAAACACTAAGAGCAACTGTCACAATATATGGTGAAAATCAAATACTTTGCAATGTACCTCAAGTATACAGTATGCTGATATTAATGACACGTACACAGCTGCAAAACGTATATTGGACTCTGCTTGCGTATCGTCCAATATAGATTTACAGTTGTGTACTCGTCAAGTAAATTTCAGAATTGTACTAAACTAAATATAATAACCAGATATTATTTCAGCAAAAATCAACACAATGTCTAAAAAGTAAAGAAACACTTTCCTAAAAATGTGTATTTTTGGAGTACTTGAACTTCTAAAAAGCAGACTGCTGTTCTATATTTATACATGTATATAGTTTGATAATTTCAAGTGAAATTAAAAAGTAGATATTTGTGGAGTTTAACTTATAGCTTGTGAAAGGCGACACCTGACATACTCTGATCGTCAGTATTAAAAGCTTATCTGTAAGAAATAAAATAATGAGTGCGGATTTGCAGTTAAACCAAATAAATCACATTAAATGTAGTGTTGTGTTGAAATAGTGCTTGGACGGTTTTATAGATCAAAAGGCTAAGCTTTGGTCAGAACGTAATGAATTCCCCTTTACTACAAAGAAAGAAAGATTTACAGTAATACAGTTACGTGTAACAATAATAAAGTTTTACTTCCGTATGATCAAAGTTGTTCTATCATGTTGAAGTGATGTAACAGTAAGTGTTTATGTTAATTTGACAGGATGTTAATTTTTTAATATACATGTATTATACCGATAACTTTTCTAATGAAAATACTGTTATTTTCAACTAAAGAAATATATGCAGCCGTAGGGCGTTCGTGGCCGAGTGGTTTAGTTCGTTGACTTCAAACCCATCACCGCCTAGGGTTCAAATCCCAACTGGGATTTTGGATTATTTAATGAGAGGAATTAAGCTATCCAGTTGGATTACGTAACTCGGGTCCCTGTTCGTTGCAAAAATTATGCACGGAAAGTCATCTGAGGTCTTCATCCACCAGTAAAACTATAAAACTATTAAGTCGCCATAATATCTTATACTAGCTGTGTTGGTGCAACAAAAATAATAAATAACAAAAGCATGCAATATAAATAAACGAGTCTGGTGTCACAAATATTTCATTTCCTTTATATGGGGGGAATAAGGTATCTGATGTCAAAATAGTGAAAATGGTGATACAAGCATGAAACTTTCAGGAAATCATCTTTAAACCATGATAAAAGTGCTCATTAGGACATGCAAAATCCTTATTAGCTTTTAAACATTAAAACACACCAACACAGTAAGGTCATATAATGAATTTCCAGCTTTAAAGGTGGAGGAATACCTCTGGTGTCCGTCCGTGCACGAACGGGATCCCGAGTAGAACCACCGACAAGGGAAAGTCGTGTAACGTTACCATTGCGGCATTTAGCGGCGTTGCGAAATATAACGGCACCACAGACGGACTATAAAATTTTAGTCCTTCTCCGTTATTCTCTGAATTCGAACTTTACTTTGGAAAAAGTTTGACAGTATAATTATGAAGGAGAAACATCCAGAAAAGAGTGCAAATTCATTGTACATTACTATCGAATTTGTATACTGTCAAAGAAGCCCTGCTCTTTGGCCCTACTACGACTGAAAAATAAAATGTTGACAAGAGTTCTTATTGATTTTGTATGAACATTTATTTGATAAATAATAAGATTTTATTCTAAAACAATCTTTCATCTGCTATACAAAGCTAGGCCATGTCGGATCATGTATTCCACACTAATGAACAACAATATAAAAATCAAGATTTTTTGGTTTGTTATCGCGTAAGATACTAAATATTACCAACATAATTATTTATGGCATTACAGACCTTCCATTACGGACCAATTCACTTTAATTAGAGCTAATAGGCAATGGGTACAGCTTGTTTCTGTTGCCGTTGTATTTAACCTCTGGTGTTATTTGGCGAGAAAGAAGCACAATTCAATGGAAATTATTGATATGAATGTTGTCGTCTTCAACCATCAAATATCTTCAAAAGACACGGTTCCATTGTTTCTGCGTGAACTAGCACTATTAATATCCGGTAAATGTGCAGGTAGTTGGTTTTGTGATTTTTCATTACAATCCACCAACCATCTTGCAATACGTCTATCTTTATTTACTGGTTTATGATAGTTATAATAATTGAGCACATTTTCTGTCAAATTTAATGGAGCATTTAGCGTAGGTGATGGGTTTATATTTTCATGTTCAATATCGGACATGATGACGTCATAGGTGTTCTGCTGAGTCGCCGGTTTGAGCTTTCGACCAGCACGATCTTTCATCTTGAATACGGGATATCTTGGTGTTTTCAGTTCAAAATCGTCAAAGACAACCTCTAAATCCCCTCCGTCGGCAGTGCCGGCATTCGTTTGATCTGGCAAAAGAGTTTTAAAATTTCATAAAGATCTTTCATCGATATTAGCAGACTTATCTAAAAATTATAAACACACTATTTTGATAATAGAAAAATGTAACTTATAGTTTTTTATGTTACATGTGCTTAAATTTATCCGGAGCACTGTTTTTGCGACGTTCCACGACATCATAAACAGGCTACAATTCCAGAGAAATGCGCACTATTATACGTAGGTGTGTGCTGCTCTGGAGATCAATATATAAGTCATTATTTATGACAAATTGATTTGTTACATTTAAGATATATCAAAAAAGGTTTCAAAATTGTCAGTGATAAAAAAATGTCTCTGCATAATTCCGCAAACTTCTAGGGCAACCATTATACATGTCAACTAATACTAATAAATCAAGTTTGATAAACAGTGTCTTAAAGTGTAAGAAAGCAACAATTGTCAAAAAATTAAATGTAAAAACAAACAAACAAAACAAACAACGACAAACATAAATGTATTGGTGTAACTTAATTCAATATTTTTATGCGCATTTAATAAAAAACAACTGCCATTCCTAATTAGATAATAGGATTTGTATTTAAATTGATCGTGATAATTCTTTAGTACAATTCCAAAAGACTTTGAAACAGTATTCTCCTATCCAGTTTGTTTGTTTTACGCCGATTTCAACACAGTTCTGGTCACGTACCTCGGCTGTCGGTCCACCTTACCGGCTTTCTTGGATAGCTAACCAGTAATTACTAATTTCTCCGCAAGCTACCGACTACATCTGAAGTAGCAGTGAGAGATAATGACCATTAGACAGACGCGTTGCCCGTACTTATGTTATCGTAAACATTCAATCGTATATCCTGTAGTAAATTATTATCAGATGTTCACAATGTAACCATTTAGACCGGAAGTAAGTTATTGGAGCATTTTTAACGGTCGGAACATTTCGGCTACAGTATCACTATTCATAATAACAGTCAATAAAATTCTTTCTTTTTTTCTTCTTCGTGAATGAAAATTTCTTGATATTATCATAAAGAAACAATACAAATTGTTGTTTTTATCCGAAGTTTGACGGAAAGAGCCGAGAAGACGCGATTGGTATGTCAATACTACTTACCCCACGCAGATCGTGCTGTAGGTTGAGGGGCAGAAGGCTCTACGTGTTTATTAAATTCCGAATCAACCGGCATAGGGGTAGGTGCTCGATTTATGTCCAGTTTCTCCTGCGTTAGAAAATTAATAAAAGAATAATTTTATGTTTACAATCAACCATGTGTTCATTTAAAGCAGTATATATGTCTCCAGATTCATGCCAATTTTCGTGAGAATGTGTTACAAAGTAAAATTTTGTCAAGTGATCAAAGAATGTAATTTACGCATTGCAAATACGTAAATCATCAAATAATGCTCATAATGCCTTACTGCGTTAGACATGTATTAGAAATATGGTAAAACATACTGCAAAATAAGACATTAATCGCACATAACATGTAAAATATTTTCTTGAATTGTGAATTTTTTATTTATCTATTTACAAACTTAGTACAATTTTCTAAGATCTGATTGTCTTCATCTGGAGGCATGCATGCAGCTTTAATGGCAGCTCATAGCTTGGTGTAACAAAAATGACTTCGTAACATCATGAGCAGAGTTTGATATACTTTCGATATGGTGTTAAGAATTTTTCTAACTAATGTACGGGGATAATACAAAACAACAAAATATTTTGACAAACATGTTGACTATAACATGCCTGTGCATATTTTGATGTAAACTGCAACAAATCATGTTCTCATTAATATCAATAAGGAACAAAAGTTGAAACACATAACTTCAAGAAACCATTTTTTATCTCTTATAATCATTTAGATTTACATTTTGTATATCCAAAATAATTATTTTTTTTGAAGTTTTGATAAAACAATATCAAACGATATTGCATTTCACAGTATCATCTTTGACATTTGTAAATTGGTACTAACATAGGCGGTTCCGTGGTCACGTGTTGGCACCAGGACTCAAAAGGTTGAGTGAACAATTTTTCGCCAGTGACTGTTTAACTGGCATTACTTGCATCCTTTTGGACACCTTTCTTTTTTTTGAGTAGGGAGTCCCTATTATTTCATCAAAACTAAAAAAAGATTACCTGCACATATTGTGTGTATACCTTTGTTACGTTTATTTCTATAAATAAAGAATAAACATGTATAAATAAACACATAAAAAAGCCTGACAAACCTTTCCCCTGTATCTTGACATCACGGGAGATTCATTGAGGCAAAGTCTCTCAATATCAACCGGTGTGTCCGCGGGTATACATGGCCTTAACTGACCATTCATGCATTTCTTCGGAGTTGCACGGCCCGGATCTGGAGTCCGGCGGAAGTCATATTCATGACCAGGCGCTGGGACACGCCCTGCAAACGTTTTATTCCGTTGAATCAATATGCGTTTCTTAGTTTGCTCATGTTTTGAAATAGAAGGAAATCCTATTGGATCTTTGTTCGCTTTGGAATGTGATATCCCATGACTATCCAAGGCATCGACTGTGTCCATTTTAAACAGTCCCGCCATAACTTTTTTTAGATTATTTGATTCCCTAAACAACAATATACAAGCACTTTTGGTGAATTATACATAGTTCTAATAATATAATTATATAATTATATTCCTTTTCAATTAAATCGCGTTTTATCAAAAACTGTTGATAATTTTCTGGATTATTCATAAAAATAGCACTAGATTTACGGTGTACATGATATCTGTCCAGTTACTTGAAACCAGGTAATTAAATATTTAATCCACTAAAAGCCGATTTAAATTAAAGGACGAAAATTAGACTGCGCATGGTTCTATATATATTACATTAACGTTTTATTCTGAGTATTGAATGAAACGTATCTGTGAAGGGGTCATGTCCTTCGGCTTGGGTGGGTATTTTTCCTGATTCTACACTGAAGTATGATTTACATTTATTATACATTATTGACACTGGGTATAATATTGTATCATTTTGGGCGAAAAAAAACCCAAACAACAATCAAATAAAACAAACCAAAAATCAGCTTTACATGTATATTGTTTGTATGATACTAACACTACACAGTTATTTTCAGTACAATATGTATCTGATATTGACTTTTTGGACTCTATAAGGGAATGATATCAGTGTTTGGACACAAACTGGATGGAGTGCAATGAGTGAATTTGATACTTACTTACTTACTTACTTACTAACTTACTAACTTACTAACTAACTTACTAATTACTTACTTACTTACTTACTTACTTACTTACTTACTTACTTACTTACTTACTTACTTACTTACTTACTTACTTACTTACTTACTTACTTACTTACTTACTTTACTTACTTTACTTACTTACTTACTTACTTACTTACTTACTTACTTACTTACTTACTTACTTACTTACTTACTTACTTACTTACTTACTTACTTACTTACTTACTTACTTACTTACTTACTTACTTACTTACTTACTTACTTACTTACTTACTTACTTACTTACTTACTTACTTACTTACTTACTTACTTACTTACTTACTTACTTACTTACTTACTTACTTACTTACTTACTTACTTACTTACTTACTTACTTACTTACTTACTTACTTACTTACTTACTTACTTACTTACTTACTTACTTACTTACTTACTTACTTACTTACTTACTTACTTACTTACTTACTTACTTACTTACTTACTTACTTACTTACTTACTTACTTACTTACTTACTTACTTACTTACTTACTTACTTACTTACTTACTTACTTACTTACTTACTTACTTACTTACTTACTTACTTACTTACTTACTTACTTACTTACTTACTTACTTACTTACTTACTTACTTACTTACTTACTTACTTACTTACTTACTTACTTACTTACTTACTTACTTACTTACTTACTTACTTACTTACTTACTTACTTACTTACTTACTTACTTACTTACTTACTTACTTACTTACTTACTTACTTACTTACTTACTTACTTACTTACTTACTTACTTACTTACTTACTTACTTACTTACTTACTTACTTACTTACTTACTTACTACTTACTTACTTACTTACTTACTTACTTACTTACTTACTTACTTACTTACTTACTTACTTACTTACTTACTTACTTACTTACTTACTTACTTACTTACTTACTTACTTACTTACTTACTTCTGGGACATACGATAAGCATATCTTATGTCCCAGCTTACTTACTTACTTACTTACTTACTTGCTTGCTTACTTACTTACTTTTACTTTACTTTACTTTTTTTACTTTACTTTTACTTTATTTTAACTTACTTTACTTTATATTTACTGTCCTGTCCTGTCCTGTCCTGTCCTGTCCTTTACTTTACCTTACCTTACCTTACCTAACCTCACCTCACCTCACCTCACCTCACCTCACCTCACCTTACTTTACTTACTTTATTTATTTATTTATTTATTTATTTATTTATTTATTTATCTATTTATTTATTTATTTATTTATTTATTTATTTATTTATCTATTTATTTGTGACTTGGCAAATTTAAAACAGACTCGGATGAGAAGATGATATTTTGGGAGGTCACATGGTGCAATAATTACATTTTATCAAGTTTTATCGAATTCGATAGCCAGATAGTGTAATCACTGGACCAATTGGCCCGCACTGGTATGGCTATCTGCATGTATCTTCCAATAATGTCGAACCCCTCGCGGGGACGTTGACATATTTGCAGGAATATTAAAATAGTTGTTTAAAAAAGAAGAAATAAAAATGTTTAAATCAGGGGTCTGTAAAACACGGCGATACATGCTCATTGCTAAATATGGCTGTACTGAATGGTATGTTGATAGATAAGTGGTGCCAGTGGTAAACCACAGCAGGGTCTTTCAAATTCGAAAGACCCTGACCACAGGCAATCGGTGCGTGGCTTGCATACTAAAAATGCATACGGCAAATCAGGACCAATCTCCCACGCAGTGATCTTAGTTACTGTCCGTAGCGTAACCGCTACATGACCACTCCCTTTTTTGATGAATTAAATATTTATTTTTTCAAAATGTTTTTAAAACATCGATATTTTAGTAAAACAAAAAAAAGTACTTATAAATTTCATTGATATAAGACTATAAATAAAATAGAGAAGAACAGAAACCCTAAAGAAAGTCCAACACAGAGACATAGATATCTATGTCTCTGTCCAACACAACAAAATTGAAAATGTTGCAGGCTCGGTTTGATTGAGCCTGTTCATGGACGGTACTGGAAAGTACAAGTTACCGTCCACGCCCCTAGCACCGGCTTAAGCAGAATTCAACATTTAACACGAAAATGGTGAAATTTTGAATTTAGAAACATCCGCGGCGGTTATCATGGAACCTTCAATGTGACACAGTTCTGTAGTGCCATGAAAAGCGGCGTATGGTCCCCTAGTAAAATAATGCTTTTGTCCTTTAAACGAGAAAACAATGGGCGGAACTAAATAAAATGGAATTTTGAAAGGGGATCTGACTATTTTAGATAGTTTTATATTAATGAAATTTAAAGCAGCCATATAATATTTTAGACATGCATTGATAATAAATTATTCTAGTTAATGATTAAAAATGAATTTTGCAATGTTATAGCAGGAGTTTTTTTTAAATATTTCGCGCCATTATTAGGAGAAGCGTCGGAATTAAGGACATTTCGGACCACGCACTTTACAAAGGGAGATAACTAATTAATTTGGAGTTTGCAAATATGTTACCTCCCTTAGGTGTCAAGCGTCTAGGAAGAAAAAAACATTTGTTTACTTTCACTTTGTGTAATATTTTTCTGTCATGTTTTTGTGATAGATTATATGTTAATTTATACGAACGTCATATAAGGTTGGTATCTAGGGCTATGTATATTATCTAATGTTCAAAATAAACTTTTCTACAACAAAATTGCTCTACGTTTTGACCCAAAATACATTTCGTCCCCGAAACGATTCGACCCAATAAATAAAACCTATGATAGCGTTTAAAAAATACAATTATCTTAAGTTTGATGTAGTAAATAAGGAAAGAAATATAATCATATTTACAAGCACTGTCCGGTTTGCTTATTTGGAATGGTATTTATCTGTGAATTGGATGACCATGATTTGATTCCTTGACATCAGACGTTTCTGTTACTGGTTGGGGACCACACAAACTGGACAACCACCAAACCCGGACGGCCGCGAAAATGCTTAATTTACTAATTTCTTTGTTCAGCGGTTGTCAGTCACTTTTTTATCAACAATAAATGCATGTTTCTTCTAAAATTAAGTAAATAAATTTATTGCAACCTCCGTAAATGGTAATATTTTAATGTCTATTTCAAGAATGTTAACGTTGAGATTTGGGTGTCAAGAAAGCAATGCCTGACCTCATATACCAGCTATAATCATTTGCAGGCTAAACAATAGAATATCCAAAACTTCAGCATTTGTTGCTGAAATATTGTATATCATGTTAAAAATCAAAAATCAAAACACCCAAGCTTTTATCTGAATTAAATCATTTCATGTACATATCTGTCCGGACACATGGTACTGTAGTGTAGACAACTAAGGTTATTTTGATACCCTCCTTGTCGAGCCACAGATATACACTATACAATCAGAAATAAACAAAATTATGAGGCGTTTCTTTACACACGCAAACAACTGGGCCGACGATGAGCCTGGGGCGGTACCTATATAGGTCGGAGTCGTTTTTGCCTGGAAATGACGAAGACAGTATTTTAATTAACAACAAATTTATTATGTCCAAAGTATCGCATAAGAATGATACATGCATTATAACAAATGTTGTAAACATATAATAATTTTAACACAAAGTTTATTATGCATATCAATTAATACATAATGATAATGTCAAGTTACATGTATCTTATATCATGTTAACACAGATTGGTACTTATTTAAAATAATACAAGGCAAAATGGGAAATTAAGCTTTGCATATGAGAGGTACCATTTATATGAAAAGTACTTTAGATTATCACAAAAATAGATTTCTATAGTTACTTAAAAATTGATTGAAACATTTCTTTTAATATTTACTTGAACAATTTAACAAAGTGATTCTTTGTTTTTAATACTAAATAGCTTAGCCCTTAGCTTTCCTATTTTATTATTTATAAAGAAACTCACATTATTACTTTTAAAACAAGTAAATATTTTATGAAATAAAATTACTTATAACATTTCTGTTATATACAATTTTACAAAAATCAAAATAGAGTACAATTTCACAAAAAAGTAAGGATAAGATATATTTATGCCCCCATTTCGAAGAAAAGGGGGTATATTGCTTTGCACTTGTCGGTCCGTCGGTCCGTCGGTCTGTCGGTCCGTCGGTCCGTCGGTCCGTAGACCAAATGGTTTCCGAGTGATAACTAAAGAACCCTTAGGCCTAGGAACTTCAAACTTGGTATGGTGATTGGTCATGACAAGTAGATGACCCCTATTGATTTTGGGGTCAAGGGGTCAAAGGTCAAGGTCACATTGACCTTGTAAGCAAAAACGGTTTCCGATCAATAACTAAAGAACCTTAAGGCCTAGAAACTTCAAACTTGGTATGGTGATTTGTCATGATCAGTAGATGACCCCTATTGATTTTGGGGTCAAGGGGTCAAAGGTCAAGGTCACATTGACCTTGTAAGCAAAAACGGTTTCCGATCAATAAGTAAAGAACCTTAAGGCCTAGGAACTTCAAACTTAGTATGGTGATTGGTCATGATCAGTAGATGACCCCTATTGATTTTGGGGTCAAGGGGTCAAAGGTCAAGGTCACATTGACCTCTTGGGTAAAAACGGTTTCCGATCAATAACAAAAGAACCCTTAGGCCTTGGAACTTCAAACTTGGTATGGTGATTGGTTATGACCAGCAGATGACCCCTATTGATTTTGGGGTTAAGTGGTCAAAGGTCAAGGTCACATTGACCTTGTAGGTAAAAACGGTTTCCGATCAATAACGAAAGAACCCTTAGGCCTTAGGACTTCAAACTTGATATGATGATTGGTCATGATCAGTAGATGACCCCTATTGATTTTGGGGTTAAGGGGTCAAAGGTCAAGGTCACATTGACCTTGTAGGTAAAAACGGTTTCCGATCAATAACGAAAGAACCCTTAGGCCTAGGGACTTCAAACTTGATATGGTGATTGGTCATGATCAGTAGATGACCCCTATTGATTTTGGGGTCAAGGGGTCAAAGGTCAAGGTCACATTGACCTCTTGGGTAAAAACAGTTTCCGATCAATAACGAAAGAACCCTTAGGCCTAGGAACTTCAAACTTGGTATGGTGATTGGTCATGATCAGTAGATGACCCCTATTGATTTTGGGGTCAATGGGTCAAAGGTCAAGGTCACATTGACCTCTTAGGTAAAGCAGTTTCCGATCAATAACTAAAGAACCCTTAGGCCTAGGAACTTCAAACTTGGTATGGTGATTGGTCATGACCAGCAGATGACCCCTACTGATTTTGGGGTTAAGGGGTCAAAGGGCAAGGTCACATTGACCTTGTAGGTAAAAATGCTTTCCGATCAATAACTTAAGAACCCTTAGGCTTAGGAACTTCAAACTTGGTATGGTGATTGGTCATGACCAGCAGATGACCTATTGTTTTTAGGGTCAAGGTGTCAAAGGTCATGTAACATTGACCTTCTAGGTAAAAACGGTTTCCGATCAATTAACTAAAAACGCTTAGGCCTAGGAACTTCAAACTTTGTATGATGATTGGTGGTGACCAGCAGATGACCCCTATTGAGTTTTGGGTCAAGGGGTCAAAGGTCAAGGTCACATCGATCTTGTAAGTAAAAACGGTTTCTGATCAATAACTTAAGAACGCTTAGGCCTAGGAACTTCAAACTTGGTATGGTGATTTTTCATGACCAGCAGATTACCCCTTTTGATTTTGGGATCAAGGGGTCAAAGGTCAAGGTCACATTGACCTTGTAAGTAAAAACGGTTTCTGATCAATAACTAAAGAACGCTTTGGCCTAGGAACTTCAAACATGGCATAGTGATTGGTCATGATCAGCAGAGGACCCCTATTGATTTTGGGGTCAAAGGTCAAGGTCACAGTGACCTTGTATGTTAAAACGGTTTCGGATCAATAATAAAAGAACCCTTAGGCCTAGGAACTTCAGACTTGGCATGGTGATTAGTCATGACCAGCAAATGACCCCTATTGATTTTGGGGTCAAGGGGTCAAAGGTCAAGGTCACATTGACCTTGTAAGTAAAAACGGTTTCTGATCAATTAACTAAAAACGCTTAGGCCTAGGAACTTCAAACTTTGTATGATGATTGGTCTTGACCAGCAGATGACCCCTATTGAGTTTTGGGTCAAGGGGTCAAAGGTCAAGGTCATGACCAGTAGATACTTGATAACCCATATTAATTGTTTGATCACTGGGTCAGAAGTCATGCATAGTTACCTTATCACATGAATAATTGGCTGCTGATAGGGGGCATACATGTTTTACAAACATATCTTGTTCCTACATAAAAATGTCCTTACTTAATTTATCAAAAATAAAGTTTCATTATTGCTTCAAATAGTTTTAACATGTACTGAGAAAATTACATTATAACAATAAAAAAAATATATTATGTTGTACACACCTGGAAATGACGAAGACAGAATTTTAATTAACAACAAATTTATTACGTCCAAAGTGTCGCATAAGAATGATACTTTGGCTCCAAAATTTCCTTATTTTAAAACTTGTCTTCGTTTCTGGTACAACATACAATTGGTTCTTCCTGAACCTGGTTTGTGATGATTGGTCCAGAAATCAAGACTGTCACAAAGTTGAAGAGTGGGAGGTGCCATTTGGACTGAGAAATCTCTCAGCTTTTGTGTTTTTGTAGTAATTAATGTTAATGCTAAACAAGGTGATAACCTATCAGCTTATTAAAGCAGCATGCCTCCAGATTCACGCTAATTTTCAAGGAAAATTTAAAAAATGTATTTAAATGTAAAATATTGTGAAGTGAACAAAGAAAATAATTTACACATTGCAAACAGCTCTTGCAATCCACATAAATTACCAAAAAGAGGTCAAAATAAGCAAAATTAGCCCTTACTGCGTTAGTAACGCAGTAGAAATATGGTGATAAATACCGCAAAATCAGCCCTTAATCGCATATAACATGTAAATTATTACTTGAATCTTTAAACATTTTACTTTTCTTAAAATTTTAGCACATTTTTCTAAAATTTAATTTTCTTGAAATATTTCGGCTCATCTGGAGGCATGCAGCTTTAAAAGCCAACAAGTTAACACAATGACAAACATCCTTTACAGAACAAAAGGTGCTAATGGAAGCCATTTGCCAAAAATAACAATTGCAACTGTTTAGAATTCCAAATCTTATTTAAGAAAATTTATAATTAAATACCACCAAATAACAATTTTTGGAACAAAGTTCAAAATAGAAAAATAAAACTTAAATATTTGAAATCTATGTTTAAAGACAAAAATTTTGATATTAATTTTAACTATTTAAGTTAAAATTTAACAAAATGTATTTTTAAAACATTTTACCTATTTATATGATTATTAATTATGATGTATTGCATAATTTTATATAAGAAAAAAGGCACATCATAAAAGTTAGGAGAAGAACCTAGCTGAATTGTGTCAAATTTGTTGGTCTCTAGGTTAAAATTTATGAAATCTGTACGGAAAAATGTTCAAAAAGTGTCCGGTTCATGGTCCCGACCAGTAGTGTACGTAATACTAACGGAAACGTTTTATGTTATAGGACTATCCTTGACAGTGCTTATCACTTTAATAAATTCATTTTGATTGATCATAAAAGTCTTCCATTGGTCAGTCTCATTGTACCTCAGCACTGGCATGTAGTGAAGTTTATCAGTTCCTTGTAAAAGGAAACAAATCAGTTACAGCACCTCTTATTTTGTATCAATTAACATTATAATTAATTACCTTTGTCATGATCACGAGGTGTTAAAAACGTGACGCCGACTGTCATTTATTTTGGACATGTCGACTTGTCGAATTAATTAATTTAAATTAATATTTTGAAATGTTGTAATTTTGCAGTCAAAAGAATCTGTTGATTGTGAACAGTGGTATGTCAGTTGTGAAGCTGGCATTTGTAATTGTGAAGGATTCTTCTTGAAATTGTGAAGGGGCTTTTATAAGGCTCCTGTTATATACCTGTAGTGAAAAATATGCCCTCATAACTTTAAGGGGTTATATAGTGAAAAAAATCCCTGCTTAATAAGGGTTATCATTATACATATTTACTATGTATTTTCAGTCAGATGAGTCAGCTCCTTAAATGAAACTTTCAAACCAACTGGAATGACCGATCTTTTGAGCAAGGGACATAAATCAGCTGTTACCGGTATCAGAGTTTCAAGAGGAAAGATCTTGTATATTGGACCAAACTTCTTCAATCACAGAACAATTTGGCAGAAGGTGAACTTGAGATCAAAAAAGACAGCTGATACATTTAAAGCATACTTGAAATTTTCCAGGAGACAAAAAATAGGTATTTAAATTTTATTCTCTTAAGAAAGCAAAGAAGTGAACAATTTGATTACAAACAATATGTCTCTGGCAATTTCTTACAGTTTACTGGTGTTCATTTTACAAAGGCATTCGTCAGAAATATACTTACGCAGTTAAGAATTACATAATAGAAATAATTAAAACATTAGATTGTACATGTATGCTCATTATACAAAACAAGTAAAATATTTCAGATAATCATTTTTTTTTTTTTTTTTTGTTGTTGTTTTTTGTTGTTTTTTTATTTAAAGATTTTTACATGTATTATATATTTTAATATTTTATTATTATATAATTATTATTATATTATTTCTTATGATCAGGAATTTTCCTTGGAAGTCTTGTTGGAAGGTATGTATGATTGCATAATATTTTTTTTTATGACAGCAGCTACTGTTTTAGTTGAATAAATTGTTTCTGTTTGTAGAGTAGTAGACATAATCATTGCTAAAAACAGAACAGTAATTATCAGTTTAAAATCAATATTGAAAATCAAACAAAAAGAAATTGTGAGAGAATTAAGTCTTTCTGTCATATTAATTTGTTTTTATCTTATAATTATTGAGCTTATATTTACTTACTTTACAAAATGCACATCCTTACATAAGTAATTGTGTGCTATATTTTTAGAAAGTTTTATACAAATGGACTTAATCATAGTATTCATACAAAAGTACAAGTATGTAAACAAAATTTATTTACTTTCTATACAGTATGCTGTATACACAATTATGTCATCATAGATGTTCACTTTAATGAATGTATTGAAGAGATTGTGCTAAAGCAATAGCAGAAAGCCTGTATTGAAATTGAATGCTCTGCAACATTTGGTTTGGGCTATATAGTAAGGGGTGACTGTGTAACTTCCTTGAAATATTACTGAAAGTAATTGCGAATTTCCCAGAATTATGCAGACTTTTGTCATAACTGTTTTGATAAAATGTGTATATTACTGTTATCCAATTTATTCTGCACAGATATAAATTTTTAATTTAAGGTTTTACATAATCAAAAATATTTGTTGTTGTGTTTTCTGTTGCTTTTGTTAACCTGGTTTTCAACGAAAACCAGGTTATTGTAATGCCGAAGTCGGCGGGCGGGCGTCAACTTTTGTTTTCACTCAATAACTTTAGTTTGCTTTGGCCTATTGACACCAAACTTGGTGTGTAGGTAGCTTATATCAAGAGGCAGCTTGGGATTGCTACCTAGGTGTCTGTGATTAAAGTCAAGGTCACTGTTACTAAAAATAGAAATTCAGTTTCTGCTCAATAACTTGAGTTTGCTTTGACCTATTGACACCAAACTTGGTGTGTGGATAGCTTATATCAAGAGGCAGCACTGGAATGCTACCAAGGTGTCTGTGATCAAGGTCAAGGTCACTGTTACTAAAAATAGAAATTCAGTTACTGCTCAATAACTTAAGTTTGCTTTGGCCTATTGACACCAAACTTAGTGTATGGATAGCTTATATCAAGAGGAAGCTTGGGAATGCTACCAAGGTGTCTGTGATTAAGGTCAAGGTCACTGTTACTAAAAATAGAAATTCAGTTGCTGCTCTATAACTTGAATTTGCTTTGGCCTATTGACACCTAACTTGGTGTATGGATAGCTTATATCAAGAGGCAGCTTGGGATTGTTACCAAGGTGTCTGTTATCAAGGTCAAGGTCACTGTTTCTGCTCAGTAACTTGAGTTTGCTTTGGCCTATTGACACCAAACTTAGTGTATGGATAGCTTATATCAAGAGGAAGCTTGGGAATGCTACCAAGGTGTCTGTGATCAAGGTCAAGGTCACTGTTACTAAAAATAGAAATTCAGTTGCTGCTCTATAACTTGAATTTGCTTTGGCTTATTGACACCAAACTTAGTGTATGGATAGGTTATATCAATATGCAGCTTGGGAATGCTACCAAGGTGTCTGTGATCAAGGTCAAGGTCACTGTTACTAAAAATAGAAATTCAGTTTCCGCTCAATAACTTGAGTTTGCTTTGGCCTATTGACACCTAACTTGGTGTATGGATAGCTTATATGAAGAGGCAGCTTGGGATTGTTACCAAGGTGTCTGTTATCAAGGTCAAGTTCACTGTTTCTGCTCAGTAACTTGAGTTTGCTTTGGCCTATTGACACCAAACTTGGTGAATGGATAGGTTATATCAAGAGGCAGCTTGGGATTGCTATCCAGGTGTCTGTGATCAAGGTCAAGGTGACGGTTACTAAAAATAGAAATTCAGTTTCTGCTCAATAACTTGAGTTTGCTTTGGCCTATTGACACCTAACTTGGTGTATGGATAGCTTATATCAAGAGGCAGCTTGGGATTGTTACCAAGGTGTCTGTTATCAAGATCAAGGTCACTGTTTCTGCTCAGTAACTTGAGTTTGCTTTGGCCTATTGACACCAAACTTGGTGAATGGATAGGTTATATCAAGATGCAGCTTGGGATTGCTATCCAGGTGTCTGAGATCAAGGTCAAGGTCACTGTTACTAAAAATAGATAATCAGCTTCTGCTCAATAACTTGAGTTTGCTTTGGCCTAATGACACCAAACTTGATGAATTGGTAGCTTATATCAAGAGGCAGCTTGGGATTGCTACCCAGGTGTCTGTGATCAAGGTTAATGTACATGTATTTAGTTTTCATGTTATAACTTGAGTTTGCTTTGACCTTTTGACACCAAACTTGCTGAGTGGCAGCTTTGGATTGCCACTAAGATATCTGGGAGCAAGTTCAAGGTCATTTGCTTACAATAGAATTTTCAGCTTCTACTCAATAACTTCAGTGCTTTTTGACCTATTGATTGCTGTCACATCAAAACTTGGTTGTTGAAAACCTGGTTTTCATCGCATTGCGGCGCTTCTTGTTTTTTTTTAAAGTATGTGGATTAGCAATTATGAAATTTTAGTGTGTTTTTTTTTATGTGTTTTTAGTTTTTCAAATTTATATGGATCAATTGACATTAACAGTCGCATAGACATGGCTGTAGCCACTTTCCAGAAATTGTGATATCATTTAATTTGAGTACATACATTTCATGTAAGCAGGGTTTTCATTATTAGCAGATTGGCAATCCATATCATCAGTTAAAATGCTGTTCAAATCAGTTGTATATTCAGCCTGTAGATTAGAATATTCACCTTGTATCTTGATCAAATCTGTAGTTTTCTCTGGCACATCTGTTGCCTCAGATAAAAATGAAAACCCTGTGTGAGGGTTGACTCATATTCATGTGTTTGTGTTGTTGCAAATTTTAGTTCCTGTTTTGTGACATATCAAGTGTGGACATTAGGTGATAGGTTGAAAATAGTTGGCAATACACATGATATAGATAGAGACAGGGGGCCATTGTATTTTAAAGAGCCGCTGAAACTCACCTATGATGATGTTTGTAAGTTTATTTATACTCTCTACTTTTATATTTACATCTGGAGAATTGACTGCAAAACTGTAGTAACTTATATGAAGTAAAGAATGACTAACAACAGTTTTGCGGTAAACCCTCAAATTCTTGTGTTGGAGATTCAAACCTAAACTTTATTTGTCTTCTTGAAATTGCTTTTATTTAGTCCACTAAAAAATTCTTTTAATGTTAAGCTTCTAAACATTATAAGTGTCAATGATAAGCTGATTATGTTATCAATATAATTGGTATAAAAGTAGCTTGGATTTCATTTTAAATTTCAACACAGTGCAGACCAAGGTCAAACTGCAGAGATGTGCCACTTGATCATGGTCTGTTCTGGTTGCATGGATAGAAGCTGATGCAATTAGCAGACTAAAAATAAAAAGCAAAGCAGATTTTTCTTCTGTTTGTCGTAAAGCATTTATTTGTTGACTACTTTCCTATACATATTTAACTTCCATCTATAGAGCTACAGTCAACTATCGTTATCTCGACATCGCTTTTCTCGATATTTCGTTATTTCGATCAAATTCTGAAAGTCCCGTTTTTTCCCCTTCTTTATCTATATTGAATATATTTCTTTATCTCGATATTTTTATTTCGATTTTTTCAGTATCTCGATGTGATATTTCAGTCCCAATAGTTATTTTCACACTATAATCCTTTGTTTATCTCAACAATTAATTGTTCGTCTGCGCCCTCCCGCAGAGGTGTGAAAAACACAAAGCGGACGGTTATCGCTCAAAGCGCGTGTCATAATAATTGATGATGATATGTTTGTAACAAGTCAAGGTGTTTTGAAATAATTGTTGATCTAATTAGCGTGTTGATTGACTTATGTCGAAAATGAGTGAATTTTCCGTTGTGTATACATTTCAAGGAAACACCTAGCAGTCAGATGCGGAAAACAAACGGACATTACATCATTCTTTAAGAAAAGTTATTAATAATGTGTTTAATACTGTGTGCTTTCATTCGAATAAACTTTACTGCAAGTGATATCAGTTTGTAAACTTGTTATCGAATAATCGGTAAATTAAATAAACGTGCTAACTATTCATAAATTGTGTGCTTTTATAAATGTGCTATTACTCTCACAAAATGATTGCTATGAAATATGTTATATGTAATATGTGTTATTATGCAATGTTAAAGTACTAAATAAATAAATAAATTAGGTTAGAAAACAACGTTTCTGTTTTAGTGGTGTATAACTGAGTAAACCTCACTATGTGTTTATCACATAGCACCTAAATGCTGTATTTCGCTGGTAAACATCCGTTAAATTATGTAACAAATTGTTATTTTTTATTATAAGGATTGACACAAGATTATGAAACATCGTATTAATTTGACTTATAAGGTATGCGCATGTCTTCTGTAAAAATTAGTTTTTGACATGTTCAAACCCTCATACGTTTATCTCGACATTTCGTTATCTCGATATTTTTTTGACGGTCCCGAAGACTTCGAGATAACGAGAGTCTACTGTATATCTTTTGGTATAAACTGAGGTCAAAGTCACTAATGTTGATGTTAGAGTTTGTGGTTAGGGTTGGAATCTTTGCATACTCATTTTTTTACTCTATTTTTTGTACTTTCTGTTTGTTTTAAGAGAAATAGCACTATAAAACATACAATAGTGTAACAAAGATTCTTATCTCTTTCAGTTACAAAAGATATCAAGTCCAGGATAAATTATAAATTTGAAAAATTCAAAGGTGAGTAAATGTTGGATATCAGTTGTCGCTATGAGGCAAAATTTCTCTGTTACAATGGATTTCAGACATTGAGTCTAATGGTCTTTTGTTTCTCATCCCAGATTCAGAAATCATGTTGGATTAGCTGTTGGTCACTTGCGAAAAAAGTGGTAATTACCGGAAAATTTTTCTTGAAAGTCATTTGGGTGGATTTATGCTGACATGACCAGAAATTGAATTTGTTAAAAAATTGCATTAAAAATACTTTATTTTTGCTATTTGATGATATACATTCATTATTTCAGTATTTTTAAGTGTAAGCATTATGCATACATTTAAGCATATTTGTTACCTTGTGTAAAAGGTTTTGTTTGAAATTGTATTGTTATGTGCTGTCATGCTTACTATTTATGATTATGCATATGAAATATTTTTGTAATCAAATAACTGTTTGCAGGTTTGGTCATACCATTAGCTCAGTCGAAGACGAGAGATCCAGCAATACTATTAAAGCTAGCCGAGTCCAGGGATCCTTCGATACGTCGTAGAGGTCTTCTCGCCTTAACATCCGATAATGACTGGGAAGGTAGGGTTGTAGAAATGTTTGGATAGATAGAAATTTAAACATGGATTCGGTTCCTTTACTTTCGATTATATGACTTACCTTGGATTTAGCAGTTTGTGATTATAAGAACTAAATTTTTATTCTTTTATAGCATTGTTTGGCTTTCATTATACATGTTCTGTATAAAGATTTGTTTCATATTTCTAGAAACTCGTATTTTTCCCAAAATGATACTATCCTGATAAACCTAATTTTGTGACTGAAAATTTCCCAATTTGAAATTTTGAACAGGATGGGAAATACTTTTATTATAATTATGTTAAATTCCAATATTGAAATTAAAAAACAGTTTTTAGCTTGACTATTTGAAGAATAGGGAGAGCTATTGTACTCTCCCAGGTGTCAGCATCATACATTGGTTAAGTTTTTGTGTGCAAGATGGTATCTCCAGGACTAATGAAGGGAGTAGGTGATACTTCACACACTTATTTGTGAGCGCAATAGATGATCACTGTCCAAGACCCATAACTCTAATATGAATTTTGACAGAATTATAGCCCTTTATGAACTTTCATTGAAATTCAGCATTATCCAGGCTCTTGTTTTACTATTAAAGTCAAGCATGCTGTCCTTCTGACAGCTTTTTTTATAGATATTTCAATACTGAGGTAAGTTCATCTAAGTATGTTGGTGTTATTAATTTCTATAATTGCAAAAATGTTTCTTATTATATAATAATATTTATATATTAATATATATTTATATAATTATATGTATAACATGGTAATTAAATGTTTCAGATTATCAATACAGGATGGTACAACAGGCATGTTCTAACCAAACAATGGTTAGTTTAGCAAGAATACCTAAATCTGACTACAGATTGTTTAGACCAATGCCATGGCTTCCTCCACCAAAGGTAGTTCATGTATAAGTGAATATATTTAAGCGTATAGTACATGTTTCCAAATTTTTTTTCATAGGTAAAATTTTAGTACATAATCATATGTCCATTTTTGTTAACTTTATAGATATTTTGGATTTAGCCTATGAGCTGAAGGCCATCAAATCAAATTTTTTGTCAAAATCTAAAACTTACACCAGAGCAAGAATATATTCTCTTCTTAACAAAAATCTGAATCTTACAAAATTTTGCTTCACAACACTTCAGAATCCAAGATGGCGTCCAATATGGCTGCCAATTTTATACAAAATGGTTATATATCTTATTAAGGTAGTTTTTATCCCGTTTGAGATAAAAGGTGTACAAACATTTATGAAATGATCAGATTTTAAATAACAATGAAATGCATAGTTTTTCAAGATTTTGTCTTAAAATTTCAATTATGGAAGCTATGTATTTTCAATAAAGTGTTTCCTAGAACTTATTCATTAACTTTATAATTTCATTAAAATGTAAGAAAATCTCATGCTTTGGTATAGAATAAATAGTGAAGAATGATTTTTGTTTTTATGTGGCAGGAGACTGTAGAGCGTTCATTAAGAAATTTACTGGCATCTCTTCAGAAGGATGTTGTTGATAACGGCATTAAACAATATACCGACAAGATTCTCTTGGAAGGAAAACCCAAAAATATTGTAGAGGTATTCTTAACCATATCTTGTTAACTGAAGGTTAACCTACCCATAGGGCCTCACTTAAATTTTGTTAACCTAGTTTAACCTTTTTTTATTATATGTCATAATAAAAAAGTTATATTGAATATTCAATTAGGGCTGTCATTGAAAATCGGGAAATTGAAATATCATCGATGTTAAACAGTCGCTACAATATCAATTCATAAATTTATAATATCAATACAGTTAATGTCTTGTGAAAATATCACTCTACTTTGTGTTAAGGAAAAAAAGTCACTTTTCTCCCTTTTTCTTGCCTCGTTTGAACACTTAATTTAATTTTTAAAGGTCTGTAAGAGATAACAAGTAAACATACTTTCTTTTCATAGTCTGTGCTTGTTGTATAAAATATGTTTGGGTACATCATGATAACTGTTTATTACACATATTCAAATGTACAAGCTATTGAATTCTATATATTTTCAATATTCACTTTCCGATATATCAGTACAAAATTTTCCATCAATGACAGCCCTATATTCATGTCCATTTAAGTATTATGTTTACTATAGTCACAAAATGTTTTTGTACATTATACTAAAAATTTATTTATAAAGTTACAGAAATTTTATGTCCATGTAAATGATACATACAATGAAAAGAATTTATTATATATTAACAAATGTCTGTGATGCGGCCTATTTTCATAATACATGCATATTCATGGTTTAACATCAGTGTCTGTCCTGCATTGTTAGAGTTATTGTCCTTGACTCATAAGTATATGCAAAATAACACTAATATATACCATGTATACATGTTTGCAGACTGGACAGTGGAATTTTGGTGGGACACCACTACAATTTGTGAAATTTCTCAGTGATGAAACAGATGGTCTGTTTGAAACCTACTGTTTGGAAGCTCTGGCCTATCACACCTTTGTAAGTATTTTGTCATATACTATTTTGTAAGTTTGAATGCTTGTATAGTTAGTGCCTCAATGTGAAACTTCTCAAAATTACCTAATAAATTACTATTTGATATTTTGGGAGTGGCATGTTGTTTTCTTGAAGAAGATCAGTCCGTGTTTACAGAAGATTAGTCCATGTTAGAGGTGTTTGTAACCGGGTGGTTGAGTTCATTTACTTCAAACCACTTGCTCCTCTGACTGTAGTTGGTTTAGACCCCATCATGGACTTTGGACTATTTCATGTGATAAAGCCATCTAGCTAGCTTACAGGATGCTTTTGGTTCTACTCAGGTGCTCATTCCTGCCTGAAATAAGGCACTGAAAGCTTGAAAGTCACCATATGACCTCCACTTGCACAATTTTTAGCCCTACTATTTCCAGAATAATCGAGCTAATGCAGTCACCCATTTGTCAGCGTCCCTGTGGTTAAGTTTTTACATGTAAGCTGGTATCGCCATAACTACGAAAGGGAATGGATTGAAACTTCACACACTTGTTCTCTTTGAATTTTTAACATGATTGGCACAAGTCCCATAACTCTGATTTGCTTTTTTGCATTATTATGCCCTTTTTTGGGCTTAGAAATTCTAGGTAAAATTTTGGCTTGTAAGCTGGTATCTCGATAACTACTGAAGGGTTTGTGCCTTTTTTGCAACAATTTTATGCATTCATAATAATAAAGCAGTGATTAACTCAATACAACATCTTAATAACAAGCCTTTGTACCTTTTCGGACAATTTTATGTATTCATATAGGCAAGCATTATTATTCCCAATGAAACACCCTTGTGACAACTTTCGAATAGTCGAGCGTTTCTGTCCTCCGACATTTCTTGTTAGTTAAGACTGTTGATTTTGAATCAGTTGCCCTTCAGTGCAGTGATATTTAATGTTGACAAGTTACTTTCAGACTAGATTGTGGAAGATGATGTTTTGAACCAAATGTCTGACCAGTGTTATTTAGGAGGTAATTTTAATAAGACTGCACATGTAATTGACTATGTACTTGTTATTGACTTATGTTATTTACAATTTTAAAGGTACCAAACCAGTGTGTAAAATTGGTAGAACTTGGTGGGTTACAAATTTTACAGAGAGTTTACTTGACGTTTCATAAGAATGTAGCTATACGGAGATATATAGCTAGGATTCTGGCTAACATATCTCTGAATGACAACCTTCACAGATCTGTAACAGAAGGAGGTAGGTTAGCATAAGAAATTATTTAAAAAGATAGGTAACCCTGAAAAAAAAGTGAAGTAATTTCTGTGCTGATTAAGATTTTTTAGTTAATGTCAATTTTTCAGAAATTATCAAAGATATTTAATTAAATTTTGAAATACATGTCCATTATCCCCTTCCAATAATGTTTTAAATATTTTATGTCTAGGTCATTTCTCAAAAACCTACGTAGGTATTCTCTTCATTCTTGAAATACTTTGTTGTTCACCATCAAAATGTGAAATAAAGTTATTTCAAAACTCATTGTGGCAGTTATGCCCATTCTTTACTATTAATCACCTAAGCTTTGTATTTAAAGGTTTAATTTTCAAGAACTGTTGAAGATAATAACATCAAAATTAAAATAAAAGTCTTGTTTATTATTACCAAAATGGGATTTAACTTTAAATTTTAAAAGGGAAGTAAATGGAGAATCATTTGAGAAAGTTCTGTCCCTTTTTTGACAAAGAATATTTCAGTTCAGTTTTTATCCTTGATAAAATTATGTACATTGCAATATAAAATGCACTGTCTTTATGGACAGCTCCTGGAAATTATAATCTGGTATAAATCATTGTTATTTGCAGGCTGGGTTGCTGTTTTACACAGATGGTTGGAAAGTTCGGATACAGCTCTATTTTTCCTCACAGCCCGAGCTCTAGCTAACCTAGATAGAGACTGGCAATCAGAGGAAAATATTAAAGCATTCTATGAGGATGGTGTGTACCTGACATACCCTGTACATAAAATACTGTATGTATTTATTATCCCTTACCTAGCTAAATATCTTAAATAGACTTGTCCATCTTTTAATCCTGACAAAACCATTCATCATTTTAGGGGAAATTTAAAAAAAAATGTACTGAAAGCTATCCAGCTAGTGTACAGAATGTCAGTGGTTCTACTCAGATGCCAGTATGGTCTGAAATCATGTACAGAGGGTCACCTTACGTCTTCCTCCACCAGTTAAAGCCGGAAAGTCACCATATGATTTATACAGTGTTGGTGCGACGTAAATCCCAATAAAAAAAGAGAAGAAGAGTAACAAAAGTGCAAACCATGATTGTGCAAGGTGATTATGGTCTGCACTGGTCGGTTAGGGCAAAAATTACCCCCCAAAAAAATGGCAGAATATGCAAAAATAACCCTACCCTAACTGCTCTAGTCACATCAGAGAAATATTGAGGAAATCAGCCTTTTATTGCATATAACATGTAAATTATTTCTTAAATTGTGAATGTTTTTACTTTGCTTAAAAACCTTGGTACATTTTTCTCAAGGCTGATTTTCCTGAAACATTTTGGTTCATCTGGATGTGTGCAGGTTTAACTATTTAAGCAAATGTTAGTGATATAGTATAAGGTTGTCTGTAAAGAAAGATTTATTTTTTACTATAATCTTATTTTGTTTTGGTTATATGATAATTAGAATATAATATTCACATAGGTTCATTATCAAAATGTATTGAACTTGCTATAGGGGACTGACATAATATAATTTTATTCAACTCTCAGTAACTTGATTCTGGAACCCACACTCATTCACTGTCTTCATTTTATTGTAGAGATAGAAAAAATAGGGTGAAGGTTGATATAGTGTTTGTACATGGTCTGTTGGGTGGACCATTTAAAACATGGAGACAAGAGGATCGTCGACTTACCGAGAAAGATTTTGTTGTTACAGATTCAGTCAGGCAGAATCATACATTCTTCTGGCCGAAGGTTAGTTTGTTATTAGTTTATTAATTCTCTTCTTGTAGTATTTTATACTTGCTGATTAAATCAATGATTCATATGGTATGATAATAGTGAGATTGCATTAAGTTGTCATGGTTGAAAATTAGTTAAACTTTATATCTCTTCATTCATTATTTGTATATTTACTATTACAACAAGGAAGTGATTTCAGTGTGATAAGTGTAAGCTGCATAGTTGGCATTGTATGAAACAAATTTAATTATAAGATTTTTTTAAGTTTCCAATCATGAATAAATACTTAATGGATATAAGTACACTTCCTTATGCAAGATGTGTTGGAGTTAAAGCTGATTTCATAATAATACTTCAACATAATGTTCAATTGATGTCAAATATAAAGAATGTTGAAGTTTTAATTTTTGCTTCTATAAATCAGGATTGGTTAGCTAGAGATGTACATAACCTTCGAATATTGAATGTTGGATATCAAACAGAATTGACTACATGGGATACCAGACATCCACTGGAAGCTGAAAAGTAGGTCACATAAATTAAAGCAGAATTTTGCAGCATACCTATATAATCATTACCTGTGTTAACCTTTGCCAGTCTGTTTGTCCATGCATTATGACCGAGATCTATGCTGTTGGTATCTTATTCAATGATTTATTTTGCAAGAAGCTTGTTTATTTATGATGATGAACTCACCGAAACTTCATATTCATTATACAGAATGAGGGATGAAATTATTAGGATGTTTTAAGTTAAACACCCATTAAGCTCTAAAATTGTATCTTTTATTTCTCAAAAACATTTAATTTATGATCTCCTGTTATAGTTTGCATAAAGTTCATCATTGGCAAAAATAACAAAGCCATCTTTTCGGGATTTTTTTGTTATAAAAGATGTTTTTTGTTTCAGGAGGACATTATCTGGTCGAGGGATGGAACTTCTAGAAAAGCTAGAGAGAGCTGGTGTTGGCAAAAGACCTGTGATATGGATGGGGCATTCTATGGGTGGTAAGGTTGTTTTAAAAGGTCCTGAAAAAATTCAGATAAAAATATACAGAGTAGATTACATTTTCATCCAGATTTGAAATTGACTTCATTTTGGTGGAAATCTTGTATGTCACCTCTGTATGTTTGCAGCTACACTTACCTTGTAGATGATTTTAATATTTTGATTTGCATTTTTCAGTTTGAACATTTGGAGAATATGGAGAGTAAAATTTTAATGTACTCACCCAGGCATCAGCATGGGGGAGGCATCACACTTTAGTTAAGTTTTAGTGTGCAAAATTTTATCTCAGAAACTACTGAAGGGAATTGGTTGAAACTTCATACACTTGATATTATAATAGGAGATCTCTATCCAAGGCCCATAACTCTAACATGAATTTTGATAGAATTATGGCCCTTTTTGAAGTTAGAAAAATTTTCATTATCAAGGCTGTTTTTTTTACCTAAGATTTTCATTATCAAGGCTGTTTTTTTTTACCAAAGATTTATTAAAAAAATTGTATTTCAAATAGGTGCATATTATACTTTCATTATTCACATGAAAGTTATATTAATGCTTCATTTTTTTCAGGATTGTTAATAAAAGAGATGTTAAATATAGCTAGCATGGATAAAAGGTTCTCTAAAGTGTTTGACAACACAATTGGTGTGGTATTCTATAGTGTACCACATAAAGGATCAGCCCTGGCAAAAATCAGCACTCTTGCTAAATACATGTTGTTTCCTTCTATAGAAGTTCAAGAATTAAATCAAGGTAAATATTTATGGATATATGCTGCCAGATTAGTAAACATTTTAAAATATATATATATATATATATATTTTTTTTTTTAAGAAAAATCTGTAAACAATTTTAGGAATTTATAAATATTTACATCTTATTATTCCAAATCACATTCTGAGTAAATACATTACCTAAGCGTATTGAAAGTTTTATTTTGTTATTAACTTGATCATGTGGGGCATCCACAGCCAAGTGGTTATGATCTTTGATTTTAAACCACTTATCAATCAACATTGTTGATTCGAATTTTTCCAGAGATTTTGGTGGTTCTTTTTTGTGGGGAGGCTTCTGCTTCCTGAAGTAATGCATGGATGAGCAACTGAGGTCTTCCTCCACTAGAAAATCTAGAAAGTTGCCATATGACTTAGAAATTTTTTTTTTATAAATCTGAAGAATTTTACCAACATAAGATTTCATTTGTAATCATTAGTCTTTTTGTTCAAAACCAACATTTCAGACAATGAAAAATTAAAAGATCTGCACAAGAGTTTCTTACGTCTATATGAACAGTATAATATGCCGGTTCTGAGTTTTGGGGAGACAGATAAAACCAGTATTGGATTAAACATGAAAGTACACCTTGTACCACCAGAATATTCAGGTAGTATCCAAATTTTATATTTAATTTCCTCTAAAAGGAATTCCACTGAGGTCCAAAAACAGAAACTGAAAATTTTAATTATTTACATAGATCAGCTATGGTACTAAAATAGAAAAATAGGCAAGTATACTCAGAAATAAACAAGAGCTGTCACGCAGGTGACAAATGCCCCCAAAAAGGTTTCTTAAGCCTGCAGATATTATTTAAAGAGAAGAGAATGAAAGTGACTAATTGCTTTATGTTGTTTTTGTAAAATGAAGTGCTATTTATAGCAAACTTAAAACCTTTGGACAAGGGTCTTGGATGCGACACAACATCTTGATGTGGTAGACATTTATGCAAAGTTATTTAAAATCCTTCAATGCATGACAATGTTACAGATTGGAAACTAATGTGTACCTTCAAACTCTTCTTATGAGCATAAGTACCATCAAACTATTAGAGAGACCTTGACCTTGGAGGTAGGAACATGTCATCTTGATGTGAAAGACATTTGTGCCAAGTTATTTTAAAATCCTTCGATGCATGTCAAAGTTATAGTCAGGACACAAATATGTGTACCTATAATCTCTTATTGTGATAGAGTGAACCTTCAAAATATAAGTGTGACCTTGACCTTTGAAAAGGGACAAGGGTCTTGGATGCAACACAACATCTTGATGTGGTAGATATTTATGCCAAGTTATTTAAAATTCGTCAATGCAGGACAATGTTACAGTCTGGACATGATTGTTGTGTAAGTGGTCCCCAGACGAACATGAGCCTTAGCCATGACATATCGTCTTGATGTGGTAGACATTTGTGCCAAGTTATTTTAAAATCCTGCCATGCATGATAATGTTACAGTCCGGACATGAATGTGTATCTTTAAACTCTTCTTGAGAGAAGGAGTACCTTCAAACTATAAGTGTGACCTTGACCATGAAGGTAGGGACAGGGGTCTTAAATGCGACATGTTGTCTTAATGTTGTTGACATTTATGCTTAGTTATATTAAAATTCTTCAATGTACAACAAAGTAACAGTCCGGACACGAATGTGTGTATCTATAAACTCTAGTTGTGATAAAGTGAACTTCAAAATGGTTGGGTGACCTTGACCTTTGAGGTAGGTACGCGATTCTTGAAAGCGACACATCGTCTTGATGTGGTAGACATTTATGCCAAGTTATTCTAAAATCCTTTGATGCATGACAAAGTTACAGCCCGGACATGATTGTTTGTACCTATTAACTCTAATTGTGATAATGTGAAACTTCAAAATGGTAGTGTGAACTTGACCTTTGAAGTAGGGACGTAATTCTTAGACGCCACACATCATCTTAATGTGGTTAACATTTATGCCTAGTAATTTTGAAATCCTTCAATGCATGACAAAGTTACAGTCCGGACACGAATGTGTGTACCAATTAACTTTATTCGTGATAATTTGAAACTTCAAAATGCAACTGTAGCCTTGACCTTTGAGGTAGGGATGTGGTTCTCGGACGGAACACATCGTCTTGATGGGGTAGACATTTTTGCCAACCCAAAATTAAATGTTTTTCAAAACCCCCTAAATTTGTATGACAAGTTACGTCTGGACTCGAATAAAAGGTGAAGACGAAACAGACAGAGGGGTGCCTTTTCCCAATATGCCCCTTTTGGGGAAAAAATAAAAATAAAAATTTTGTACTTTTTTAGCCTGATTTGAGTAAAAAGTTTTGGGGCCTTTTTTTATTTGTCTGTTTCGAAAAAAAAAGTAACTATTATGATCGCTGTGGCTTGTGGAAGCACTTTGCAATCTGTCATACATATAAATAAAGTTGAAAAGTTTTTTGTTTATCCCTAAAAGGTATGAAATTTTATTGATGTTTTATATTGATAAAGTGAAACTATTGATTTTTAAGAAATTTTTTAATTTTTTTCGCCCCCAGGGGGGTTGGCATTTTTTCATGCTATAGAGACCCAAACCAATTTTCAACATTTGGTTTAAAACCCAAGGACACCCAGTCGGAATTATACACACTGACGCTATCATTTATAAGGAAGTGTATATTTCACCACAGCTTGAAAGAAGCAAAGAACAAAGTTAAAGACAAATTAGATATTAAGCACGACTTGTGACAAATCACAAGTAATTATTTGGTCTTCAAATCTTGTTGTTAACTGGTCATACAATAGTTTCCAGTACAGGGATCATTCTGTGATCTGAGATGCAGGTCATATACTATGGCAATGTTGTATATTACAGAAGACAACTCTTATTAAAGAGGAAAAAAGAAAATGCCAAATACTTTTGAAGTGGTTGTGCAGTGGATTTTTTTATTACTGATTTTATTATGATTTGATTATGATTAGGACACCATCTCTGTTTTTGATTATATATAATTATTAATTACTTTTTTAAAACTGCCTTTATATACATTTAAGAAATAATATATTGGATGAAAAAACAAACACCAAAATTCCTGTATTCATTTTATTATGAGACAGAAAATTGAGTCCTTAATATACATATATAAGTAGCATGCTATACACGGAAAATACATTTTCTAGTAATACTTTACTACAAGTTTTATTATACCACAGAAATTTTATTACCTAGTCAGTATTTTGTCATTATTTATACTAACATATTGCTGTTGCTTGACCATAATTCAATTTAATCTGGAACTAAATTAACAGATTTTTTGAGGGTTTTTTTTGCATGGTATCTTTCAAGGAAATAATGTGATATAAATGTCAAGGCTATTATTTTTTATATAGACATGTAATAAAATAATTACATATCATCCTAGTGCAGTAATGGGCTTAACTATTGAATTTAATAGGAGTCAACCTGTTACTGTGCAAAGGTGACTGTATCACCAGATAAAGGTCATCAACATATTACTACATTATCAACCATTTTCTTTAACTGTACCCTGTTAATAGAATTGTCCAGTTTTGAATTTGGAACAGTCCAATAGTATTTTTAGAATTTCTTTTATATGTAAAATTGTTAAAATTGATAGGGTCAGACTGCACTGGTTTGCAGACAGACCTGGCTCTATTATACCGGTGATATTGTATGGCCGCTAACATTCCTAGTGTTAAATGCCGAGTTACTCAAGTGTTATTACATTTAAAGCACCTGCTTCCAGCTGATTGAAAGAAATATTCAAATTAAAATCAAACTTTAGAAAAAAATATTTCTTAAGAAATGTTTTAATATTCACAAATACAGGTGAAAGTGTAAAAAATTCAAATGTAGTATGCTCAAAATTGAAGGAATTTACTATACTTGTACTACTTTATAAAAAGAATAGCTCTTGTTAATAATTGAGTAAGAAAAAAACTCTGCATAATATTATAATGATAATATAAAGAAATATCTAAGGATAGTATTACTTGATTTGAATACTCAGTAACATTTTTTACTCATTAGAAAATCTTTTTTTTTTAAATAAACACAATTCTGGAAGCAAGGTGCTTTTTTTAATGGATCAAATCTGTGCTAATAAATTAGATGAAAATTTCATTCGAGTGTTTTTGTTTTTTAAAAAATGCACCTTTTGTACATAAAGAAAATAATTGTTAAGTCTTTCTTATGTTTAACAGAGCAAATAAAAATAAGATGTTAATATTTTATATTGAAGTTGTTTTACATTGATCTCATTTGTTCCATATAATTTTTTTAAAACAACTTTTTTTTCTCTTACCAATTCCTGGTTTATTATTGGGGCAATTGCTTAATACTGATGAAATTGGCTCAAGGGGATCCGAAAATCTATCTGCTTTGTAGTGTAAATTTGCCTATGTCAATATTCAATTTAAAATGCAATAAGTGCAGATAAAAACTTCTTTTAAATGTAAATATCAGTATATCCAGTAAAATGTGCAAAAAATTCTACATTAATTTCAATCATATAAAATCTTTGTACTGTTTACAGTTGCAAGGTTTTCTTTGTTACTGAATGATATTTGGAGGTGCATTTTTCTGTGTATAATTGTAATAAGAAAATTTAAGTAAAGTTTATCTACTACAGTTTAAGCCATAGCCCCACGAGGAAACTGACTTTTTTTCTGCTTAAAGAACTTTATACAGCAGTGTAGGAGAATGTACTGTCTTCAGTCAAATTAATCAGTTGTGATATTACTTGATGGAATAGTTCATTACAGATCCATTCTTATAAAAGCACCTATAAAAACAAAGTCCTTCAGGAACTTTACAGCCACATGCCTCCAGATGAGCCAAAATTTTACAAGAACATCAAACTTGAGAAAATTATAATAAGATTTAAAGAAAAGTAAAAAGATTCAAGTAAGAATTTACATGTTTTGTGTGATTTATGACTGACTTTGCAGTATTTATCACCATATTTCTACTTTGAGACTAACAATGTAAGCACTGTTTTTGCATATTCTGACATCTTTTTGGTAATGTACCTTTAATATATTTTTTTAGCAATGTATAAATTACTGTCTTTGTTCACTTCACAAATTTTTTTCTTATTAAATACATTTTTAAATTTTCAATGAAATAATTCAGGAATCTGGAGGCATGCTGCTTTAAACAATACATATCATATTTCTAAGTACAGCACAAAGTCATGTATTTTACTGAACACTCAAGAAACCAGGTACATGTATAAAAGTGAAATACAGACAATAAAATACTGGTTATATCAATATATTGTTGATATCTCATAATTTGTCATCCAATAATATTTGATAAAACAATAATTTCTGTCAGTCATCCAATAATATTTGATATATCATTAATTTCTGTCATACCATATTGATATATTATTGATATGCTTTAAACTGAATCAATGACAGTCTGGTTTATAGATTTCTTCAATGTAAATATTTTTATCTGAAGAGTCAGAAATACAAATACATGTGTACATGCAACAGTAATTGGTAATATTAACAAGATCTTGGATGTATATTGATAAAACATTAATGCCCATTTAGTCACATAGAGACAAACTTTATAAAACTTCATAATACAATTTGTAACATTACATCTCACTCACATATTGTATAGACAGTACTGTATACACTTTGTGTATGTGGACTTTAAAAAACATTCCCTGATTAAAAAATAATAACCTAGAATATACTTCCAGGTAAGGCATAATAATTTAAAGATGACTCTAAGAAATAACTACATAAATGGTTTAGTTTTCTAATTTGAATTATTGTTCCTCACAATAAAGCAACTGGATTATTATTTCTTATAATAAAACATTGTTCTGACCATTTGATAAATTAAAATAAATGTATATATGATTGCATGTTGTCCAAAGGCAAATGCTTGTAAGTTAAAGGCACATTATGTCCATATTTTTGTGCCCCCACTTTAGTGTTGGGCATTTAGATTTACCCTTGTCCGTCCGTCCGTTCACTTTTGTGTCGCACGTAACTCAAAAAGTATTTGACCTAGAGTCATGAAACTTTACAGGAATGTTGATCAGCATGTGTTGTTGTGCACCTGGATATTTTCTTCTGGATATTTATAGTATTTTCAGAGTTATTGCCCTTGACTTAGTAAAATTTTGCAATTTTCAACTTGTGTCGCATGTAACTCAAAAAGTATTTGACCTAGAGTCATGAAACTTCACAGGAATATTGATCAGCATGTGCAGTTGTGCACCAGGTACTTTCATCTGGATTTATTTCGTATTTTTAGCTCACCTGTCACAAAGTGACAGGGTGAGCTTTTGTGATCGCTTTTCGTCCGGAGTCCGTCCGGCGTCCGTCCGTAAACTTTTACTTTAAATGACATCTCCTCATAAACCACTAAGCCAATTTCATCCAAACTTCACAGGAATGTTCCTTTGGTGGTCACCTTTGAAAATTGTTCAAAGAATTTAATTCCATGCAGAACTCTGGTTGCCATGGCAACCAATAGAAAAAACTTTAAATATCTTCTTCTAAGAAACCAAAAGAGCTAGAGCTTAGATATTTCGCATGAAACATCTTCTAGTGAGCGTCTACCAAGTTTGTTCAAATAAAAGCCCTGGGGTCAAAATTGGCCCCGCCCCAGGGGGTCATTGATTTTCCCTATATGCATATAGTAAAAACTTTAAAAATCTTCTTTTAAAGAACCCACAGAGCTAGAGCTTAAATATTTAGCACGAAACATCTTCTAATGGGTGTCTACCAAGTTTGTTCAAATAAAAGCCCTGGGGTCAAAATTGGCCCGGCCCCAGGGGGCCATTGATTTTCTCTATATGCATATAGTAAAAACTTAAAAATCTTCTTTTAAAGAACCGAAAGAGCTAGAGCTAAGATATTTAGCATGAAACATGTTCTAATGGATGTCTACCAAGTTTGTTCAAAAATGAGCCCTGGGATCAAAATTTGCCCCGCCCGGGGGGTCATTGATTTTCCTTATATGTGTATAGCAAAAACTTAAAAAATCTTTTTTGAAAAAAAAAAAAAAACCAAATAGCTAGAGTTTAGATACTAAGCATGAAACATTTTTTCTTGAGTGTCTACCAAGTTTGTTCAAATATAAGCCCTTGGGTCAAAATTGGCCCCGCCCCGGGGATCATTCATTTTCCTTATATGTGTATTACAAAAACTTAAAAAATCTTCTTTAAAAAAACTCAAATAGCTAGAGTTAAGATATTAAGCACAAAGCATCTTCTAGTGAGTGTCTACAAAGTTTGCTCAAATAAAAGCCCTGAGGTCAAAATTGGCCCCATCCCGGGGGACATTGATTTTCCGTATATGTGTATAGCAAAAACTTAAAAATCTTCTTTGAAAAAACCCGAATAGCTAGAGTTTAGATATTAAGCATGAAACATTTTCTAGTAAGTGTCTACAAAGATTGTTCAAATAAAAGCCCTGGGGTCAAAACTGGCCCTGCCCCAGGTGTGTCATTGTTTTTATCTATATGTGTAAAGAAAAAACTTGAAAAAATTTCTTTTAAAAAAACCCAACGAGCTAGACCTTAGATGTTTAGCATGAAACATCTTCTAATGGGTGTCTACCAAGTTTGTTCAAATAAAAGCCCAGGGGTTTAAACTGGCCCCGCTCCAGGGGCCTATATACAGGTGAGCGACTTCAGGGCCATCATGGCCCTCTTGTTAGAGTTATTGCCCTTGACTTAGAATTTTTTTGCAATTTTCAACTTGTGTCGCAAGTTACTCAAAAAGTATTTGACATAGAGTCATTAAACCTTATGGGCAGGTTGCTCAGCATATTTAGATTTGCACCTGGGGTTTTGCTTGTGGATTTATCCAGTATTTGTAGAGTTATTTCCCTTGACTTAGTAAAAAGATTGACAGAACAGTGGTGCGGTGGGGGCACCCGTGTCCAAAGGACACATTTCTATTTTTTTAATTCTTTAGAAATGTCAAATATGTGTATTTAATAATGGATTTAGAGCATGTTAGATGTTTAACAACTGAAAAAGTAGCGCTGAACATGCAGCGATGTGTTGTAAAAGTAGCAAAATGTAAAAGTAGTATTTTGACTTCCATACAAAATACTAATTCACAATAATTATACCAATTGCCAACAGAACTAAAGATGCAAAAGATAGATCATGTATATATAGCAAATGTTTTGGGAAACTTTAACAAGATACCAAAGATAAAAAGTTTTTGTGAAATAAAAATGATAGTGTTTCTGACCCATAATGGGCCTTTAATTCACATTTATGTATATTATAATCCATGCAAAAATCAAATCATTAAACCTAATTGTCAGACAGAAAACAAAAGGATATGTATACATATACTCATGATAAGGCATAAAAAAAACAACCTTCGAGATCAAAACTAGATGAAAAATCCTGCACATAGTCTTTTGTCGTAAGCTATAGATGTCGTTTGTCAAAGATTGAATATAAAAGTGAACAAGAAATGACTAACAATGTTTCTATGGAAAGACTTCTGGATGATAATACAATCATTTATTTTGTTTTGTAGCAATAGAAACCACATCATTGGTAAAGCATATAATTATATAACTAATCAGTTATTTTCTGCTAATCCTGTGTACTGTTCACTTATTTCCCAGAGTTTCTTGGCAACACCCATGTCTTTGCTCATCTCAGAACTCTGCTCTTCAGCCTCTTTGCAGTCTACGTAATACTTGCCGGACACCCCTTCGATGTCCTTGCTTATTGAGCAATATATAGAGGTCTGAGCCCCTTCTTCAGGTGTCTGTGATAAAAAAATGAAATATATTAATTACTAGTAATTGTAAGTGCATAAATGTGAAGATTTTGATAAAAATATAGAGGATATTGAATGAGTGTAAATTCAATAATGAATCAATTTTATTGAACAAGTTGAATAAAATTATATTATGCGAGCCTCTGGCAAGCATAATATTATTTTATTTAACGAGTTCAATTAAATCAGTAATGAACCTACACAAACATAACATTCTATTTATCACATACCCAAAATAAAGACTGTTCAAAGTGCAAAAGAATAATTTTTCATTGACCCACCTATAATGTAACACTAACATCTTGCATGTCTGTATAATGTGTGTAAAACACAAATGACCTCATGTCAAAATATATGCATGGCCGTGCAATACAATTTTTACGGAGTCGCAAAATCTGCATGGGTGTGTGATAAATAATTATTTTATTACTCAATATTTCACAGTTAAATCCTCATTAAAATCTTCTTACCGAAAGTAAAGACAAAATTCCTAGATGATACAAAATAAGAACTCACAAACATTATTCAAACATTATAATTTAATATGTTATTTACAACATATCATTTATTCAAATACAGAAAGAATATTTAATGTAAATTATCATATTAAGAAAATGAGAAAACTAAAAATTAGATGTACAATACAATAAGTAATATTATAAAACTTAGATATATAAAATTAATTCACATTCAGTAAAATACACAGTGGTATATTAAGAAAATGAGAAAACTAAAAGATGTTAGGAAAATTAGATGTACAATACAATAAGTAATATTATAAAACTTAGATATATAAAATTAATTCACATTCAGTACAATACACAGTGGTATCTAATACAATATAATGTGGTATTACAAAACATGCATTAGGTAGAAGCATGATGGTCTAATAATCCAGGGTCACAGACTTGATATCCTGATCCATCATAAACAATACAATATTTTGGATGAAATCTTAAAAATCAAGATACAGTGAATAGCAAATATGGTCAACTGAAATATGACTGTAAATAAAGCGAGAAATAAAAGAGTAAGATGATAAAACTTTCTTGTCAGTCCTGTATGACACAGATATCTCTATATCATAACTCTATATTTAAACTAGAACTATCACTAAATGTGATTAATACCCCCACAAGTCTGCTTCGGAAATGAGGATGTTACTAGTAACAGAATACCTTGTAAAAGAATTGAAACATAGAGTTATGGTTGTGGGCAATTAAAGATAATTTAGGTTCATGTATGTTGCATTTCCTTTCAATGTGGTTGGCCATTGATGAAGTTTAATTGAATTACTCTGTAATAAGTCCAGAAAGACAAAGAAAAAGAACAAAGGGCAAACACTCTATAAATACTGAAGATAGAGTTATAGTTCTTGTGCACTGCACTTCCTCTTATTGTGCCTGACCATTGTATGAAGTTGTTTTGAATTCCAACCAGTATGTTTTAAGTTATGCTCCGGACAAGGAAAAGTATCAAAGGGCAGTTACTCTGTATTTTGTCAAAATGGAGTTATGGCTCTTGTGCACTGCACTTCCTTTGAATGTCCTTGACAACTGTATGAAGTTGTACTGAATTCCAAACAGTAGTTTTCAAGTTATGCCCTGGACAAGGAAAAGTAACAAAGGGCAATAACTCTGTAATTAGTCAAGATGGAGTTATGGTTCTTGTGCCCTGCACTTCCCCTTATTGTGCTTGACCATTGTATGAAGTTGTTTTGAATTCCAACCAGTAGTTTTAAAGTCATGCTCTGGACAAGGAAAAGAAACAAAGGGCAATAACTCTGTAATAAGTCAAAATGGAGTTATGGTTCTTGTGCACTGCACTTCCTCTCAATGTGCTGGACCATTGTATGAAGTTATAATGAATTCCAACAATTAGTCTTCAAGTTATGGTCCGGACAATAGAAAGCAATGGAAAAGTAATAAAGGGCAATAACTCTGTAATTACTTTAGATAGAGTTATGGTTCTTATGCACTGCACTTCCTCTCAGTGTGCTTGACCATTGTATGTAGTTATATTGAATTCCAACCATTAGTCTTCAAGTTATGCTCCGGACAAAAAAAAGAAGGCAATTGAAAAGCAACAAAGGGCAATAACTCTGTAATTACTTTAGATAGAGTTATGGTTCTTGTGCACTGCACTTCCCCTTATTGTGTTTGACAATTGTATGAAGTTGTTTTGAATTCCAACCAGTAGTTTTCAAGTTATGCCACTGACAAGGAAAAGTAACAAAGGGCAATAACTCTGTAATTAGTCAAGATAGAGTTATGTTTCTTACGCACTGCACTTCCTCTCAATGTGCTTGACCATTGTATGTAGTTATATTGAATTCCAACCATTAGTCTTCAAGTTATGCTCCGGACAAGGAAAATGCAACGGACAAAAAAAAAGCAATGGAAAAGCAACAAAGGGCAATAACTCTGTAATTACTTTAGATAGAGTTATGGTTCTTGTGCACTGCACTTCCCCTTATTGTGTTTGACAATTGTATAAAGTTGTTTTGAATTCCAACCAGTAGTTATCAAGTTATGCCCCGGACAAGGAAAATCAACAAAGGGCAATAACTCTGTAATTAGTCCAGATAGAGTTATGGTTATTGTGCACTGCACTTCCTCTCAATGTGCTTAACCATTGTATGTAGTTATATTGAATTCCAACCATTAGTTTTCAAGTTATGATCCGGACAAGGAAAATGCAACGGACGTCTGGACCGACCGACCGACCGACCACCGGGTGACTCCTATATACCCCCCTAAACTTCGTTTTTGGGGGTATAATTAGTAGTTCAATCTTGATACCATGCTAAATATATTCTTCGGAATAGTTGAGCTAAATATACACAGAATAATGAAGAATCTCTAAAATGAAATACATGTATAAATACAACAAAGGTATGAGAATGTTAGATATTAGTACAACTACCTTTACAAAGCATGCAGCAGCTATAGGATGTAGTGGTTTTAGGACAGGATTGAAAGCATCATGCAATAATTTAGTATTAACTGGCCCTGGATGTAAACATAAAGTGGTCACTCCTAAAACAAGATAAATTATAAGATATTCATAATTATTCTTATGGCCTTAATGTAAACATAAACAAATCATTCAATAAAAAGATACCTTATCTAGGTATTTCTGGATGTGGGTGCAGAGAACATGATTGCTGTCCAACTTTCATCAAGTAAACTTTTGCTTGCCCTCAGTGAAAAAATCAGCAGATTGTTCTTTTACAAGAGTGCAAATTTTAGTAGATTGTTTTAGCAGATTGTTCTTTTACAAGAGTGCAAATTTTAGTAGATTGTTTTATAGCAAGGGGACTAAATCATGCCCATAGTGCAAAATTTAATCAATAGTCATATAACAAGGGAACTAAATTTACTTGCCCAGGGAGCAAAATTTAGCTGATTGTTCCATAACAAAGGCACTAAAATCATGCCATTTGCTTGACTTAATTTTATTCAACCAGTTAAACCTACACTCATTCAATATCCTCTATATATTGTAAGAGAAGATTAGATATCTGTCCATAAATACAGGTGCTATGAAAAAACAGTGTGTTAAGTGTGAAGGATTTTGTTTTGTTTGGGGGGGGGTTAGGGGGGGGGGGGGAAGGGAGGTATAAATAAACCAACAAGTCCGAAAATTACTATTTAAATGTATAACTATATCAAGCACAATTCATAATAATAACCATGCATGTAGTTGGGTTGGAACAACATTAAACATCACTAATGCATGCCAGTTACTACAGCAATCTCACCTTAAAGAATATATATCGAGGTATAACCATAACAATAGCATGAGGTATGGGCAGATGTCTCCAGATTTCTGAATTGATTGTCCCTGGATGCAAACATGAAGTTATCACTCCTATTGAAATGTGAAGAACATAAAGTTATTTAACCAGTTATTTAAGCCTACTATTAAAATGTTTGGTCATTTGAAATCTTGAATATTTTACTGAAGATCAACAAGGCAGAGAAATGTCCTACAATATGCAGCAATGAAAAGACAACCATCCTAAAAACCCAAAGGGGAGAAGATTAAATCTGATATTGCCTTTTCAACCTGAATTAATTTAATTTAGAGTTTCTTTTACAACCTATGCTCTCCTTAAAGGGACTCCTCTGAGGTTTTTCTTTGCATGACAGGACTAGAAATGTTTTTCCGAGATACAAATGGACGAAAGTCTGTGCACAAGTTTTCAGACTAAGTCATCCCATTTTTCCAGACTATTCATTAATATTGTGCAAAACGACCAAAATGGTAAAGCCTTGCAATCCTTTTCACTAAAATCACTTTTTAATTTCATTCTGGGTATATCATTTTATAAGTCTTTGCAGATTTCTCTATTTCATGTTCTTTGCTTGCTCTATATAAAAAATACAAATTTTATGTTTTTTAACATCACAAACAAGTATAGTGGATAAAAAATCATACAGTAGAACTTAATTAACAATTATGGTCAAATTTGTATATCTAACCCTGGGAAACACTTCTCTACTCCAACATATCTTAGAATTTCAAAGAAGCACAAGATATTAGTGATATAATCAAATACCTTTAGCTTTTGTCAGATATTGAAAATTTTACGTAGAGATGATGATAGTAATGTTATAACAGGTTTGATAACGATTTATGACGAAACACGAAACTCACTGCAATTGGTTTGTGTCACCATGGTCTTTCACACCCTGAAGACACCAAAGTCCATTTATCTGGAAGACGGGATGTGTGGGTGGGGCTTCAGGGTGTGTCATATAATTGGTGGAGGGAGAGAGTATATCATTCACGACAAAACAAACATATGTTAGCTTTATTCTAGCACTGAAAAAATTTTGAAAGTCTGCATGTATGCAGGTTAAGGTTATAAACTAGAAATGAAATGTATTAAGCTAAAATGCCACTCGTATTTCTACAAGAATGTCAAAACTGTCCTTCATGTTGTCATAATTCTTTTACTGTATAAAATAATCACTGTAAATTTATATGATTTTTTCGGCACCTTGTTTACAGGATTCACTCTGCAGTTTATGTAGTAAACAGATTCTGTAAGTATATTTTACTTTCAAAGTATCTTTTTTTTATAAACTAAATGCATTTATGATGTATTGTTTCTATTAGTGAGTTAAAATTATATCTCTTGATTCTACAAGTTAATGATCAAAAACCTACAGATTGCTCATTTTTGTTTATTTATAAAGAGCAGACACTGTTATTAAACTGAAAATTTAAAAATCTATTCTAAATAAGCTATTTTACGTAATCAATTATCAATCCATAACTTTCTATAATACAACCCTTTATAGTTTAAATACTAAGTAGATTGTGATTTTTTCACACTTATAATCCATAGCAAATAGATTTAATAACAAAATTATCAAACGACTTTTACACTGATTATTTTATTGGTTGAAAGGGTTTTCACTTCAGGAAACAGTGCTTTAATATTTCTTGACTAGCCAAGCAAAGGAGTAGTCTTGATTAGCCAGGCAAAGGAAGACTTCATTAAAATCTCACCTTAAAAAAGAATTTGACGAAAAAGCCAATAAATTTCAAAAACAGCGGTAAATGCCTCAAAAGTTCTGTCCGAACAGTTCCGGGATGTAATGCAGATGTGTATATCCCTGAATAACAACATGCAATTTAACTTATAAATGACACAGTTAGGCCCCTTTTTAACTAAATTTTAGGTGCCAAATTATTGGTTTCCACAATATGAGTTTTGTTGCTTATAACATTAAAGTCCTATACAAACCCCACATTGACAAATGAATTCTAGGCATTGACAAATGAATTCTAGAATTTCAGAATTAATATTAATAGTACAGAAAGGGCTATAATTCTGTCAAAATCCATGTTAGAGTTATGGGCCTTGAATACGCACATTTACTGTGTGAAGTTTCAACCATTCACTTCAGTAGTTTTGGAGATACCAACTTGCACCCAAAAAACTTAACCAAAGTGTGTAGCTGTCACATGGGTGAGTATAATAGTCACTATTCTTCAAATCATGAAGCTAAAAATCAAGAGACAGAAATACTGAATTTAATGAACTTCTATTTTACAATGCAATAAAATCACACATTACTTTAAACATTCACCCTCAATTTAGCATGTAGTGTGCAATAAATGTTCCTCATTTTAATTTAAACTGTAAAATGTTAATAATCAAAATGTTAAAAATCATGCTGCCAATAGTAATGAGACTAGATAGAGAGCAAATTTGTCCAATTGCTGGTAAAACAGTGTTATATACATTGTCATAAAATTAATCAGTTAGAAGATATTTAAATATGCCCGTGAATGTGAATGTGCACAACATGCATAAAAATTCAAATCAGTTTTAAGGCTCTAAAAGTTAAACTTAGAAACCAGTCTAAACTAGGCATTTGATTGGATGTTGATAAATAACAATTTTCAAGATCAACCAATAGTAAAATTGCAAGTATTTGTAGACTGGTTCCTGGATTCATTTTTTTTTGCCTCATGACTCTCACGACTGGTTCTAGATTTATTTTATAACAAACCTGTCCATTCTGTCCTTCTTGCCAGTTCTCTAGTAAACAGGATATTTGCTAGTTTGGTATCAAAGTAACAGTTGTGAATAGAATAGTCTTTTTCTGCCCTCAGGTTCTCAAAGTCAATCCCCTTTGACCAGTTATGTGCCAGGGATGATACATTCACTACTCTACTGGGCTGTGACTTCTTTAGCAGGTCTGATAATATAAATCATGAAACAGTTATTGTGAATTTAATGAAAAACAAAGCATTACTGGTGAAGTCATCAGAATTAAAGATCATAATTTTGGCAAAAATTTATCAATGTCAAAACACAACTATGAAAAGCATACATGTACATATACCAGTCAATTAATTTAATGTGTTTTACATTAAATTAGAAACATAATAAAATAGGAAGGCTGAACTATCTTACCCATGAGAAGGTTTGTGAGAAGAAAATGTCCAAAATGGTTTGTAGCAAACATCACTTCAAATCCTTCCTCTGTTTTTGTCAATGGCAAACCTGCATAAAAGATTACTAGTCAATACAAATTGTACATTATCATTCAAATTGATATAATTTATAAATCTTATTTTGCTTATCTACTGGTCGGGGACCACCAACCGGACACTTTTTGAACAAACCACACAGATTTTATAATTTAAAAGCTAGAGATCTTAAAATTTTACACAGTACAGCTAGGTTCATATCTGAACTAACAGACTAGTTTGTTTATTTCTGATTATGTTGACATTTATATCTGAGGCCTGTGAAGGAGGGTATCAAAATTACCAATATTGTCCACACTACAGTACCATGTTTCAGATATGTCCATGATGCTGATTTAATTCAATAAAAGCTTTGGTGTTTTAATTTTTTATTTTTAACATAATATAAAATATTTCAGCAGCAAATGCTGAAGTTTTGGATATTCTATTATTTACTTTACAAATGATTATAGCTAGTATAATTGGTAAGGTATTGGACTCTTGACGTCCAAATTTTCAATGTCAACGTTCTAGAAAAAGATTACCATTTACGAAAATTGAAATGAATTTAATTACTTAATTATAGAACAAACATGCAGTTATTTTTTATATATTAAAAAGCAAATGATAAATCAACAACCAATGAACAAATAAAAAAGGCATTTTCGGGGCCGTCCAGGTTTGGTGGTTGTCCGGTTTTTTGTGGTCTCCAACCAGTAGTTTTTAAGCCAATTTTAAAACATTTTTGGTGACAACTTTGCGGTCAGTCTGTAACCGACTTTCCTAGATAACTGACCAGTAATTACCTTTTTTTCTGCAAGTGACTAACTACTTATCCCACATGATTTCTGAATTAGCTACAAGAGACAAATGACCATTAGACTCAATGTTCAAGATCACATAAAAAGTTTGCCTTGCCAAAGACTTGAACAAGCCTGCCACCCCTAGATTACAAATCTAATGCTCGATCTTGTTACTGAGCTAAGCCAGCAGTCTATTAATCTTGCCCAATTCAAACAGAGCAAATGTTTTCCCCATTATTACACAGTAAATATAATTCATATCATAAATAATAAAGTTTATACCTTTACTGTCACAGCAAAAGATTAAACTTTCAATATTTACTTATTCTACTTCAATATCAGGGATTACCATACACAAATTTTATAATTGTTATGCTGCTTGCACCTCTTTGATAGTCATTTTTGTATCCTATGTACATTGTATATGTATCTACTGTTGCAAAAACTTGTGGGTAAAGGTTCTGCCAAATATTGCAAATCAATACATGATGTATTTTGTAAATTTCACATAGTGTATAAATATATAAAAAATTTTGCAAAACAATGTTTGAATGGAATGTACTGGTAATGGGTATATTAGACTGATAAGTTCACAAAGGTGTTAATTACTTTTATAGTACATGTACTACAATAGGAGGCATATTACACTATAACAAGTTATAGAGATATAACTCACTACAGAGTTAGACAGTCCCTCTAAACACTTGTCACAAAATAGAAAAAATTTTGCTTTTTATATTCTTACATTTTTCATTCATTAATTTACAAGGAGATGAAATAACCATCTTAAAGTGCATTTCAGCATGTTAAAAGACAAGATTATAGCATTTTATCATTCAATCGTCTTATCTGGTATATACTTTAGTATTGTGTTCCAACATATTTTTTAGTCACACTTAGAGCTGTCATTGATTCAGTGCAAAGCATACCAATGATATACATATAGGATGACAAATATCAACTACATACATTAATATAATTATGAGCTTATAAATGCCAATTGTATGATTTTTTCAAACCAATTTTGTCATCACTTCTATGAAGAATGTCCAATATGTAATGATTGCATAGTAATAAAAATGGACATCCACTTCTGTGTATGTTTTGAGTGAGTTTTATAATTTATAAAAATTTAATTAATTAGTCAAAATTATTGATTTATTCAAATGTGTATTAATTACCGATTGATAGAAAAATATCACCAATACTTGATATCGTTTCTATCAAAGACAGCTCTAGTCACACTATAACTAGTTTGCTATACCTGCCATTCCTGCATTGTTGACAAGTATGTCTAATCTTGTCTCTTTCTCTTCGAACAGCTTCACAAACTCCCTCACAGATTTCATCAAACTTAGATCTAACTTCATAACAAGAACATTTTTATTTCCAGTCTCTTCTTGTATCTTATCTACAGCCATCTGACCTTTAACAAGGTCACGGCAAGCTAAAATCACTCTTGCATTCCGTCTTGCAAAGTCTAACGCTGTGTGGAAGCCTATACCTAGAAAAGAAACAACATTATTGTGTATTTCGTTTGTATTTTAGAGAGGAGTTACAGTTTAGTTATTATCGGTATCTATACTTCTAATCTAGAGTATGAAAAGAGCATTCAAAAGTAATAAGAAGTTTTAAGTGACATAATACTCATTTTCCGCTGTCAAGCTGATCGTGATCTACACTGCTTGCATTTCAGTCAGTACATACTTTGAGATTTTCACAATCAATGATGAATGGATTAGTCTATACTGAAGGAGAAATTTTCAATATACATACTGACAGGCACAGATGTGCCAGCTGATTACGGTCTGCACTGGCTTCATACATGTAAGTAGAAACTGTTGCAACCAGTAGGGCAAGAGTTAACTTAAGACACTTTACAAAGAGGATTTATACCTGTATTGGCCCCTGTGACTATGGCAACCTTTCCTGAAAGATCTACGTCACTTGTGCATTTTCCTTTAATACTCTCCACATACAGTTTCAGAATGACCAGTGCTGTCAGTATCACTATGAAAACTGCAATAAGTATCTGCCAAACAATATCCATAATATTCTGTAAATTGAAAAGTAAATTATCAATCAATGTTATTTTATACATGTTCAACCTCTTATTAAATAAACACTTTAAGAAATTCAACAAGATAGGCCATATAAGGGCTACCAGTAGTCCAACTTATTGTACTATGTGACAAGATATTGTGCTATTTTGTGTATGGGCAATACTTTATGAAATTCTGAACAGAACAACAATATCTCAGAATATACAATGTAGCTTTGGCATGTCAGTACATTTTGACTAAGGGCTACCAGTTTGACAATATGCTAAACCATTTAAGGACACTTATAAGGATTCTCGTGGCTGAATTTTGGACCCACTCTTCATTGAGTGTACATTTCCCCTACAGGGCTACAGATAACATATTGTGTATATTGGGTAATTACCCCTTGTTTTGTGATCTATTGGGCTTTTTCTATTTTTCTTAGAGTTATTTCTGTATTTTTTACCCTACCCTCTCTAACCAATTTGGGTTATTAAGCACGAGTTCATGTATTTTACCCAAAAATTCTGACCGTCATTGTAGACTGTTGTAGGTTTTGTATGGTAATAAAAAAGTTACTAATTACTATGCTTTATGGTTTATTGGCCTAGGAGATTTCCAAGCTGCTTAATATAATTTAAAGTTTAAAACAGTCTGAAACAGTACGGCATTAAGTATAATTTACGTCTTTACGCACCAGTTCAATTGTAGTTTGCATAAATAAGAATTTATTTACTTTTTCTTACCCTTAGTTATTATTTCTATTGGGGTTTTTGACATTTTAATTGAGTAATAACACAAATACGCATGCTATCTGGAGCCCTGCCCCTATCTTTTAACAAGAGCTGTCAGAAGGACAGCGCGCTCGACTTTTTTAGTGCTTGCCTATAAAACAAAACTTTGACAGTTAAGGGCACACAAGACTTTAACTAGGAATTTCTAAGTACAAATCAAGAAACATTTTCACAGAGTTATCTTCTCTTGCTTACAGATAGGTCTCATGATGGCACATAAGAACTCCAACTTCCAAAGTAATATCTCAAATGGTTAAGTCAACAAGTGGACAAGAATGAAAATCTTAACTGAGTTTCTAAGTCAAAAAGGGCCATAATTCAAATAAAATCCTTAACAGAATTACCTTCTCCTGCCCATGTTTTGGGACCATGATGGTAAACAAGTATTCCAACTTTCAAATTAATATCTCAAACAGTTCAGTCAAAAAGTGGACTGGTACTAAAAACTTAACCAAGATTCTAAGTCGATAAAAGGCCTTAATTTTTAAAACAAATCCTTGACAGAGTTACCTTCTCTTGCGTACAGATGGGGGTAATGATGTGAAATAGCATTAAAAGTTTCAAAGCAATATCTCAAAGGGTTAAGGCAATAAGTGGATTTTACCCATATTCAATGTATTTTCTAAGTCAAAAAGGGGCATAATTCTGTCAAAAACCTTGACAGAGTTATGTCCTCTTGTCTGTTGATGAAGGTCGTGATGGTAAACAAGTATGGTCAGTTTCAAAGCAATACCTCCAATGGTTTTGAAATAAAGTGAGGTGGTACAAAAAACTTAACCAAGCTCAATACACTTTCTAAGTCAAAAAAGGGCCATAATTCTGTCAAAAACCTTGACAGAGTTATGTACTCTTGTCTGTAGATGGAGGTTATGATGGTGAACAAGTATGGTAAGTTTCAAAGCCATACTTGTAATACTTCTGAAATAAAGTGGGGTGGTACGAAAAACTTAACCAAGGTGTGACGCCAACGCTAACGCCGACGCCGACGCCGACGCCGGGGCGAGTAGGATAGCTCCCCTTTTCATAGAAAAGTCGAGCTAAAAAACGATGGCTTCAACTTCAACGGGGTTACTCCACAATATCCATAAGGCAGACATCGACATCGAGGAACTTTAGGCTAGCAATAAGCCAATATGGGCCCCCATTTTTTATTTTGTGTTAAACAACTATTTATGCAGAAAATGTTAAATGTATTCAACAGTGATTGAGTATGTTTATTGTTTAACATATTTTATTATTATTTTATCATGTAATTGACCAAAGACAATGGATATATATATATTGCTGTTTTTGCACTAAAAAAGGCTCATATCACAAAGTTATTAGTAAGTAAGTTCTTTATTTTTTATTTTATTTCTATATCTTTTATACTAATTTCAATTTAAGTGAAAGTGATATAACTAATTGTAGCATATTAATCCTTCTATTAAAGTGTGTGAACCTTTTCGTGAATTTTCCTTTGATATATATTGAACACAAACTGAATACGAACTGAACTGGTAACACATATCATGTGATACCTGTAAGTTTACTTAATAATTTGTTAGCAACATTTTTAAAGTATATAAGGAAATACAAATTGTTCTTTTTTATTTATTACATTATTACATTAATGGATAAATAAATAAGTAATTCATTCATTTATATTCTTTTATATTCATATTATTTATTTAGTTATTTAGTTATTTTCAAACAATATTATTTATTCATTTATTTTTCATACAATATTATTTATTTATTTATTTTACATACACTATCATTTATTTATTCATTTATTTCATTTTCATACAATTATACCTTTTAATCCAATTATCTAGTCAATTACGACATAACTGTTGAATAAACAACCAATCAACAAGTTGAATAAACAAGGTGACATGCAATGAACACTTAATAACGGATCTGAGGAGTTCTTGGAGAAAGTGGGTGAATTTATGGACATTTATAAGAATGTGGTATTTAGAACCGGTAGTAATAGAATGCGAAATGGACTCCATTTCGCGAAATGAACTTTTCGACTACGAAATGGACATTTGTTTCTTAAATTTTGGTTAAAGTGTACTATTTAATATAATTTTTAATAATGAACAAGTGATATATGACATAAAATTACTATTTAAACAATTTTGGTAATATTTTTTCATTATTTATGCTTTTACATTTGAAAATAATCGTATAATAATGCCACATAGTTCAGTGTTTTATACATAATCCTTTTATATCATATGTTTAACCTGTCCCAGATTAAACGTAAGTGAATAGAAAAGATACCCTTTGTGACATGTCAGTTACACCATAATTTGTAAAGCAAATGTCCATTCCGTAAGCGAAAACTCCATTTCGTGGCCGAAAACTCCATTTCGTAGAGACCAGATTATTTTCAGAAATATGACTATAAAATAGGAAAATAGTAATATTAATTGGTTCAATCTGTAGTTATTTGTCATATGTTAAACATAAATTAATAAAAAAAATATTACTCATCATGGTTAAACAAACAAATGTCCATTTCGTAGGCGGTAAGTTCATTTCGCGAAATGGTGTCCATTTCGCATTCTATTACAACCCTTTTAGAACCAGTAAAATGTTATGTTTTATTGCATGTTATATGTAAATGATTTAAAGAAATTATTACATGTGTAATAACATGTGTTATTTGTTTCTGAATTATTTACTAAACAAATATTTACTCTTAGAAATGTCTGTAAATTGTCCTTAAATCAAATAATTATAAATCAAATTCTACTAATTTAAAAAATAATTAAAATAAACACATGATATAAAAGCATTTTTATGGCTTATTTTAGAAAAATTGGATGAGGGGTGAAGTGTCTTACTGATTTTGGGGGGTGAAGTGTCTTGAGGGGTGAAGTGTCTTCAAAATTTGAGAGGTGAAGTGTCTGGAGGGTGAAGTGTCTTGCTACCCTGTACAGCTAGCCACCACAAAAAAATAAAAAATCACTTCAAAATTAATTTTTGCTGCCTGAGATTTGTACCTAGCACAAATTATATTTTGTTCTTTATTTAACATACCTGCAAAATTCATAATTCAATTTTAATGCTGCAAATTTATTGATTTATTTAATAATCTGTTAATTACATAACACTGAAACTTTCTACACCCTCATGAGGAGTTCAATCTAATTTCAATTTTTAAATAGTCTTTATTGATAACTTTGTTTAATTTTACAACTTCATTAACCCCAACAGAACAATTGACATGATAAAGAATCATTATGGTAATTACAAAAGTGGTGAGTTGACATTTGGACGAGCTGACCGAGGGCCGTGTAAAAAAAGTTATTAACAACAACAACAACAACAAGTGAACTTGCTACAAAAATGACTTTTCAAATCAAAAATGATTTTTTAAAAGTGACTATTCGACTGTAGATAAATGCAAAACATCGTGTAATATGCAAAATACCAAAATATGTCAATAATTGTCTTCCAACTCAGGCAACTGTGTGTACCTTATTTGATTGCTTATATCATTGAAAATATCGAAGTGCAAACTTATGCAAATTGCTTTGCTAGATTAAAAGTGTCATTCGAAATTTGACAAAATATAGAATCTCAAGGCAAATTTGTGAAAAAAAGGCACCAATAAACTTTCCTTTTTTTAAAGAAATTATATTAATAATTTATATATGTTTTAAGCGGCTATTAAATTGACAAGAAACGTTGCAAAACAAAAATACCTGTCGAAAATCAATTTTAAGATGAAATAAGGAAACAATGAGTATTTTTTATTCAAGCTGATACCTGAGTTGTTTCCATTTAGCACCTTTTAAGGAACTGGTATGGGAAATCAGGGATCCGGACACCATGGAGGTCGAGGTATGTGTCAATGTTGACAAAATTTGTTGACAATTTTCACCATTTTATTTGCAATAAGTTTACAGTTCATTCAATGTGCACTGAGTGTTTTTATCAAGAAAATCTTCTATCTATCAATCTACTTGACTCCCATAGGAAGGTAAGCATAATTTTTTGATGCCGGTGAACACGGATTTATATTACAAGGATCGGACACTCCCAGTTAACCCTATATAAATGCTTAAATATCTTGTCGTGCACCCGATAAAAGTACATCGATCGATAATTTACCGGCGCTAAGCGTAAATGCCCGTTCGCAACGGATACCTACTTTACAAAATATCATACAGCTTTTCCATTTATTATCCGATTTTAAAAATTTTAAGTTTATTTTGAAGAAAAATACTTGTTTAATTCAAATATCTAATTT